TCCCTCGCAGGGCGTCGCGAGGGCCTTGAGTTCGCAATCGAAAGGAGGCGTCCATCTATTCACCAAGTGCTCTAGCTCCCAAGCGCGCCTCCAGAAAGTCAAATGTGTTCTCACATTGTATGAAGAGTGGATAAGAGGCGATGTTCTTTTATATTACCTGAACACACCACGGGTCATGGGGATGTCTGCATCTAGCCGCTAAGCAATAAAACTTACGGTTCACAGAACCTTTTGAAGGATTCGTCATGCTGAGTAGTAGATTAACCCACTAATAGTCAACCCCGTCAGTTAGCAGATCAGAACCTTCAAGGGTAGCATGCTGGCATACAACTTTGTAGTGGCGAAACTTCTGTACGGGCAAATCGAGGTACGATACCAGAGACAAGCACACCTATCAGAACAGACCACGTTGTGAGTCCGGAACATTGTGTATAGGCATTATGTTCCTAATTACTTTCCAAAGCTTCCCTTCATTTGCGCCAGTCCTTCGACCATACGGGAATGCTGCGACGGCGCCGAGACACAACTTCGGATCTGCATTCGTATTATCTTTCATGTATGGTGCTATCTTTAATTGATAACATCGAAACACAATCGTTACCGCCTTTCCGCATCGCCCGACTAGCAGAGACCTGAACTTTTAATCACACAGGGGTACTTGCGTCATTGAGCACTCGTGTGATCTATGGATCTGGTCTGGTAGCGGGCCAGGGGGGATGCCCTTTTGACAAGGCTACTCTGTAAGTAGGAGAATTATCCTCGTCCCTCCGCTGGAGCCAAGCATCAAATGGGTCGTTGCCTTTGCAGTTACCGAAGGACGCGCGTATTGGCCTTTATTGCAAGATTCCCTCAGTTTTGCACAGCAGGTTAGTATTGGCTGCACAAAATAGGGTTCTCCCCCCTAGAGAGGGCGTGTGAGTAGTTGGCCGAAGGTTTGAATACCTGCAAGCCATCAGTAGGATTTGGAAAAATTGCTAGGAGATCGGCGGAGGAGCTATAAAACATTGTTTTGTGATACTCCTTGGCTCCTGAATAGAGAGTTAAATTAGCATTCGGACCTAGGAGACGGTACACCAGAAAAGTGCACCAGGGACCGTGCAACCGACTGCCCTGAGCTTTAACTCCAGATGCTAAGAAAGCAAACAGATACCTAACAAACGCACTCTTAGGGTCATGTCTTTATGTTTTAGACTGGTAGTTGACGCGACGCACCGCATCACGCGCTAACGAACAATATAACCCTAGTGACATATATAGCGGTTTGAGAGATGGCTGCGAGACGCAGCAAGCGGCGCCAGTCTCGGACTCGAGCGGTGGCAATCACTTGTATAATACAGATTAACTAAGTAGTGGGATTGACTCCTGAACATGTCATCCGGACACCGAGCGGTTGGGCACTGATCTTCAAACAGTTCGGACGTCCGCGGTTAATGACGCTCCAGACATTATCGTGATGTACGCCAGCTGGTCTCGATTAACAGTTGCCGATGCTCGGAATGTACGCTAGGCGTGAAGACAGGGATCCTCAAATGCGTCTAGCTACCATCGAGTTGTCTATTTGTTAAATGGGGTGTGTACATTCAGTCAGACAGTTGTAACTTCGATTCAGTTTGGCTGGGCCTAATCGGCCTTAGCTGCGATCGATTGGCTTGGTCCCGTCTCGCCCAGGCTATTTGATCAACCCATGCATACACTTGCACTTACACATTAACTGGCACACCCCCTCCCTGGAGGCAGATGCAGACTGGCGTTCAATCGATTCCCCGTCCATGGAACACCCTGGGCAGCATAACGCGGTTGTACTGACTCATCCACATTTCGACTCACCGTATTTGCACCTTCCCCAGGCTGCAAATTTTTGCTCGCTAGAACTGGGTTACGTTTCGTTGTCATTCTCTGTCTAAATAGTTCCTGGTTTGCGAGCGTTCAGTCGTTTATATTACATGAGTCGTGGAGGCTTCATGTCGTAGGGGCCGACCGAGAAGCTTCACTGACACATCATGGTCTTGCAGGGTTCAAACACACAGTGGCAGTCAGGAAATGTCGCTTGCCACATATTCTCTATCTGCTAGCTCTAGGATCTGTCGACCAAAAAGTGGCCATTTCTGGCTTTATTCTCCATCCGACACTCATGCCTAACAGGTCTGTGCTATCGATTTGGAGGCGATCAAGCCAATTCACTTTTCTTTATCGGAGTCATTAAGGCCTGTGGCGAGTGCGAACAAACTGCAACTCCTCCACCAAATGAAAGAGGATTCTTTTAATCAGTCATAAGGATGCTGCCAAAGTCAGTTTGCGTAACCGCCCCGGTTCCCTAATCGAACCTTGGTAGTCGATCGATAACAGGAACTACGCGAGGACCTCGTCGATGGTCACAGCAGAGTAATCTTCTCCCAATGATTATTTGCCTGGGGAACAACGGAGAACCAACCTGACCCCGTCGTCGGATGCACTTTGCCCTAGGTTACCCGGACGATTTCGTGGTAGACGTGTTTCATTCTCGTATCAATTATCTTTCTACCTGTTGTCCTTTAACACTCGGGACGTAACGCGCAACGGGGCATGTGTAGACCTGGCTTAGATGAGAATTACACTCCGTATGTGTCTGTGGATGTGGACGAACGGTGGACGACGCTGTGACTCAAAAGCTTGGGTAGAGGCGGGGGAGTAGCGCACGAGCCCCTCTATGTATTATACGTATCATCAGTTAATCTCCCCACGTCAATGACGTAGAGAATTCGAACGGCCGGAGGAACCCAGATCTCGTGTAAACGTTCCGTCCGTCGATCCGGGGTTCTGCCTTTATTGGTAGAGGGTGAGTTATTGAATACTTAGGCCGGCGTTGTGGCATCCTTCAGTAGCGTCGGCCTTGATGTCTTAAACAGGTCATTCCGCAGAATTCCCATGGTGCGGAATGGAACTAGCATTCGGAGCCGTCCTCACTAGCTCTCTCGACACGAAAGTAACAATCATACGCTGCTCGCAGGTAGACGCGTCCCGTTCTAGCTTCCCCCAAGTCGAAATTCGACACTGTTACGTAAAGACAGCTCGATGATATGCGATGGGCAAGCCGCAGCCCGGGTCCATAGATACTCATTTCGCGTGCGCGAAGCCGCTCGCGAATTAGAGCCCGCTTGGCTAGTGGGTCCATTGCATCAGCGGTGTTACACAGGTAAGGCATCCTCCATGATACCGTCTGGACAGCAACAGTTCCGGCCAGCTCTGACCGACTTGTCTTTAAGTTTCATCGTCGAGGGATGATTTTTCTAGTGCCCATCGCAAGAGAATTGGTGCATCCATTAGGCTTTGCGAAATCCTAACATGCGGCTTGGGCCCCATGAAAAATATAAAGTTCAAAGGTGTTTGCAAGTGTTGGATATCTGAAGCCACCGTCCTAATTCTGGATAGCGCCGGGGGACGGCCATACTTATCACCAGCGCGCTAACGCGCTGAGTAGGTAGCTGTCTCCGACGTTAATACAGTATTGCCAGGGGGTATATTGGCCATCTCACTTTGATACGGACGAGGAATCGCATTTGAAATTGGCTTAACGGTGTGTTGGGACCGTGGTCTTATGAATCGTTCTATACACACCACGAGACACGGTGTATTTTATGTTTCCTTGGGAACGAACCGCTTTAAGTTAATCGAGTCCTTCAGTAAGGAGGTCACACATTACTACACCACATCAGACCCCTTTCGAAATAAATTCGGCCCACATAGGCGAGTGACCGGCCTATGTAGGGTGCAGCTATGTCTTGGGCGACAATTGTCGTATAATGGCACCCGTGTCGACACCCTACCATCCAGTAATAGCGTACGCCCGTCACTGAGGAGCTACTCTAAGTATCAACCACCGGAATATTCGGACGTGCTGTCATGTTCAACTAAGTGAGGGGGTCTGTAGTCGTCGTTAGTGAGTGGAACACGTGTCTAAACTACGTTGGGGCCTCGGATCCTAACTGAGTGCAATGTAGTGGTGAACTCTCAATACTTGTAACATTATCAGTAGGTAACTTAACCCTCACACATTTGCAATGGACTGCGCTTAGAACGAATAACGAGAGCAATTTCCCGGTTATAACGATCAGTCTCATTGATCAGTCTCTCGACTTTGCCCGATTTTCCTTCGTCATTTCAAGATGAACCCCCATTTCCCGGTATGCTAAGTCGGTCCTTAGATTTGTACGCACAATACACTAGAAAGGCTTAAGAGGACGGCTAGAATCGGGGTACAAGTGCGAATAAACAGACGGTTCAACATCACCCAGCATCTTTCTGTCGACCGGAGAGACGGGCACAACAGACTATAGAGTTGCGGTACACATATCGCCCAAGGCTGAAACAAAAACCCCCAACAACGTCACGGGCACCATTCATTACGTTAATGATATTATCTGCCCATCTGCAGTCAGAGGTCTATCGATTACCGGGCTAGGTACCACAGAATACGGACCTCAGATAGGTGTGAAATAGGCCCGCCACTAGAGACCCCGCCAGTGAATGTAGAGCAGAGAATATAATTCCCCAGATAATACGAAGACAGAGGTGATTCGAAGTCCTGGGATTATTACTCTATGCGGTCTGTGTTTCCGATACAGAACTATGAAGATAAAATGCATCTCATAGAGAGCCTCCCGACCGCCTTTGTCTCCCAGCTGCTGCTTCCATTTATGGCGGGATGGCTGCGGAAGGCGACAGGAACCAGGCTTTGATGAAACTTATATTACCTCAATAAAATCAGAACACGTACACATACACGTCCCCAGCAGGCTGAGAGCGAAATCAAAGGAAGTTCCGGTCCTTTGTGAGAAGGCGAGCCGAGGGGAGAGAATTTCAGATATAACCAAAGACCAGACCCACACATTGATGCTACTGCTATTCCAGCCAGCTAGAGAAGATCACCACCAGCTACAGAAGACTACACAACACAGAAGGGCTCTGCAATCAACCAAGGATGGCGAGGCTTGCTGAGTAGCGATGTGTCACCCAGTGCGAGTTCAGCGCTGACAGAAGAAGTATCGATCGAAAGTCATTCTACACTGAGTGCCAGCTCCCACGGGCAGCTGCAGCTCGAGTTGAACTGACGAGCAACATCAAGCAATCAACCTCGAGAAAGGGCGGAAAGCGCCATGCATCGACCAAGCCAGCATAGCAGAGAACCAGTTGCATGCACAACCGAGCACCGCCAGAGAGCACGGAGCCGGAGAGAGCGCGCAGCAGTGTCGCCAGCGCCAACGAGCACAGGTGTCAGCTTGCCAGCGGACAAGGACAAGCATCGTGCCGACGCAGCTCATCCAGCAGTGGAGGGAGCCGGCAGCTGCCAGCAGCAGCTCATCCAGCAGTGACGCCCCGAGCGAGAGGGAGCAACGAAGCTGTTCGTTTGACACGCCCACATTCACACGCTACCACGCATCGCCCGGCGTCTGTTTGATGCAAAGAATTGATCCAGGGAACCAAACCACACATACACATAAACATACCCGGACTAATAATAAGGATCAAGGAGACAAATCCCCACACACACATGAAACACATACCCGGACTGATAATAAGAAGACTAATGATAAGGGTGCGTCAACTATTAGTGATAACGAAGAAAATCGCTGACCAATGAGTTACGTGGATACGGTCACTTTGAAGTATTTTAGTCGTTTCTTTCATTTTTAATTGCATAAAATATTACCTGTGAATTCATCGATGAAAACGAAACGTTTAGAAACCTACGTTACGAACCTATACACTCGCAGGGAGAATATTGTGTAAAATGTTTCTTTTGATCACAGAATCTTGCCAGCGAATTTAATGAAGCCTTAGCCAATTGATAAGCATCTGCTTAAGCAGACATACTGCCGCACACCATTGTTTAAAGACAAGTCGTTAAATACATAATCTTACCGATGAATTCATTGACGCATACTTTGCCTTCGGGATGTTTCTTTATTGCCGTTCGTATGAATATCGTCGCATACATGTTTAAGGACTTTTTCCTATCGCCGTATATGCTCGCGTTACTCCGAGGAATTAATCGATTGTTCTGATTACCCAGTTTGACAACGTAATCACTGAGGGTTAAATGTACGGATCAATGAGGAGAACATCTCCAGGAGTACTGTATTCAGATTCCAAGCATAAGAGTTCGCATATTAGAGTCTATGTTTTTGTTTAGAATTAAAGTTGCTTAACACAGAAGAGTCTGAGTGGTGCCTTCCTAAGTTCATGCATAATAATCTTAATTATAAGAACTGTATCCTGCGGTGAGATTTGAATTTGGAGACCTGACATAAACACACTAAGACATAATCAGTAAATGTTAAAGCGAGAATAATTGTATTATCCCGACTGAAGGGAAACTGGTGGTGATGGTATCACGTCATAAACAGAAGCATGTCGACTTACTTTGGTTCAGTATGTTTTAAATACAAGAAGATAATAGATGCACCATGGCATTGTAGGGCTAAATTCATAAAAATCCCCAAAAAGATGTATAGCTATACCAAGCATACCAATGCTATAAAGCCATCTGCCTTTCAACTACCTGAACCCAGCCACAATCTCCGCGACACTTTGACTTCTGTTACAATATCATTTAACCCAAGACACAGTGGCTTAGATTGATCCTTATAACAATAATCATGTGAGTGTAAATTTTATATGAGTAACAAAGCCGCTTCTCGCCACAAACCCTGGCGTAGAGTCATGTTCGACGAGGACTGGGACCGAGCGCTCTTACCCCAGATGGTGTTCATATTTTTCCTGTGCGTTGCCGAGAAGACCAAAGGGCAACCCTTTAGGATCTTGGACAGAAGCGTCAGAAGGGCAAAGAGCAGGTGGTCGGCAGCATTTTCCTGCGTCTTCTTTTCCACCTGAACAAAAACACGCAGAAGTTGCTACTGATACCATCCAAGCAAATACATATACGACAAAATATCAATTGTATCATGGCCACAAAATGCAAATGTTGAAGAGATATTAAATCTACACAGGCACTTTTCTAAATCGATTAAACTGCAGAAATGAGTAGGGATGTTCGAAGGAAACTGTAAAATCGATGGTTCGAATGAAAAGGTCGACAGTTCGAATGAACGGAGTAGAAACGCACCACATGTGAATTACATGACATAATGGGACAAAAGCTGAAGGAAGGGATGAAGAAAGGACCAGGTGGGGTTTACAGATTTCAATTACTTGTTAGAGCACACCTTTTTCTCAGGTGCCACCAGGAAGAAAAGTAAATGCTTACATTCTCGTGATTGCTGGGCTGCAGGTCTTGCGCTATGCAGGGCAGCAGCGATGTCAGGCGACGGTCAAACTCTGCGCCCTCCACCTCCACAAACAGCCCACATGCGTGCGCTGCCAGTTGCCGCATGGGCACCTGTGTAGACGTGAACGAGTGAACGCGTTAAACACTATACACTAGTGGACACTTATTTATGCAGGAGCCACACAGAGTGGCACGACTCTTTTTCAGGATGGTCCTGCATTGTGTTTTTATTTCAAGATTTTAAAGCCAATTTGTCAGCATCTATACCAGTTGGAGGAAACCGGAGCACCTGGAGAAATATAAAGCATGCAAGGGTGCAACACTCTATCCCTGTACAAATGGGAAACAGATAGTCATGATACTCTTAGTTCTTTCGGTAAAGTCACGTAGGTAAAAAATGAAATAAAAATTAATAAAAATAAAACAATTTATTTTTAAAACAATTTATTTTTATTAATTTTAATTTAATTTTTTACCTACTTAATTAATAAAAAATAAAACTATTTATTTTTATTAATTTTAATTTCATTTTTTACCTACGTGACTTTACCGAAAGAACTAAGAGTATGAATCCTTGCAGTCACGAAAGCTTCAAATCTAGATAGTCATGAGTCAATTTGTTGTATTTCCTTCTTCTAGCGAGCCAGGGTATATGTATGGCCACTTCGATCTCCATGAGAAAGGAGTTTCACAACGTTTGAGCGATCCACCAACATAGGCGTGCATAGCCACCGCTGAATACAGAATGCATAACTACATGAAACAAATCGACTGACTGCTTAAAAGGTTGGCCACATGGAAATAGATAAACAATAACATGACAGAAGCTACCAGAAAAAAATCCCGTTTACTGAATAATTCCAAAATGTATAAGCAACAGCAAGTTGAATATGAAAAAACAAGAATAGATTTTTCCTACCTATTCTTGGCATAAAAAAATGTATTCCATGATATAGCTGCTCATCCCGAGCTATAAATGCTGTGATAGTGCATTGTCTTTGTACTGTTCAGCTTTGGCGTTCTCTGGTCTGACACTGGTGAGACTAGGCCACAAAGAAGGCTGTCTCTGGTGTAGGCCAATCAGTTTCAAAGACAACACACATTATCAGAGCATGTTTGTTTGCATGTTCACTGCAAGTACGTGTGGTTAATGCAGATTTTATTCCTTGAAAAAGATATCTATTTGGTGTTTGAACATCTTAACACCTCCCGTTTAATTTCCAGAAACGGTAAACCTATTCTTATTTTTATAAATACTTATTGAGTCCGCATACAATAGATTAATACATTGTACAAACCTCATGTTCTGACTTTTGCAAGTTATCACAAATGTATTTTATGGATGATAGTAAGATAAAATCCACTACCTTTTGGAATAAATCGGAGTGTATATTAACAGAAATGTATGGATGAGTAGGATCAAACCTTTAAAAAAAATTATCACGTAGAATCTAAAAAATAAAATCATACTTTGAGACTGGCAAAAAAGGTCCCATAACAGAGCAAGCTGAATGTTGAACTACAAGATCCTTATCCTCACCGTCCAACCAATCCATGGCCTAGCCCAGGGGTGGGCAAACTTTTTGACTCGCGGGCCACAATGGGTTCTAAAATTTGACAGAGGGGCCAGACCAGGAACAGGTGGATGGAGTGTTTGTGTGAACTAATATAAATGACATGTAAAAATCATTACATGAAAGGATTTGGCCTTTAACAGGTAGCAAAGCATTTATTTGCAAGGCAATTTAACAAATTGCACGAACATGAACAATACAAAAACATGTTGTAACGTGACTGATCAAACATCATGAAAACATCTGAGGCCTGCGCCAAACCAATTACCTCACTTGAACTTCTTTATTATCTACATTAACAGGTTAGAGCAGCCACGCAGGCTGTGTGTCGGAGATTTGGCTCCAACCTCGCTGCAGCAACACATCATCACTTTCAGTTTCAGTGGGAACAGTGTTGTTGATCTCCCATTTTTGCCAGTGCATCCAAGTCTGGAGTTATTTTGGTTGTGGCAATTCTCAGGATAGATCTGAGGTGCTGATCCGTTAACTTTGATCTGTGACGGGCTTTGTTGGCGTTCATGACGCTGAATGTCTGCTCACACACATAAGTCGAGCCAAACAAAGTCAGTATCTTCTGTGCAGTCCTCCGGAGGTTTGGAAACGTGGCTCTGTTAAGTGAAGCATAAAAGTCATTCAGTTTAACAGAGTTGAACTTCTCCTTTAGGACGGAGTCAGACTGAAGATCTATCAGTTCCAACTGCAGCTCCTGTGGTGCTGTTTCAGGGTCTTGTGACAGGGGACAGGACACCAGCTGAAGTGACTGTTCAATGTTTTCGAAATCAGAGAACCTACGGCAGAATTCTCCGTGCAGGTCCTCAAGTGATTTGCTGTATTTTTTTGCGTTTCGCGGTGCCTCTTCCTGCATGGCAAGTGTGGGGAAATGAGCAAAAGATTTGTTCGCAATTTGTCCGGAGAACAAAGTGAGCTTGGATTTGAAGGCTTTCACATGTTTGTACATGTCGTGAACAAACTGATCTTTCCCCTGCAGTTTCACATTCAGCTCATTCATGTGTGAAAATATGTCCACAGCAAACGCAAAGTCACTAAGCCAGTTCTTGTCGCTTAGCTCAGGGAATTCGTCAGATTTCCCCATCAACTCCAAAAATGCGATGATATCTTCTTTCAGCTCCCACACTCGTTGTAACACTTTCCCCAAACTTAACCAGCGGACACGAGAGTGGTACAGCAAGTCCTGATGATCCGCATCAGTTTCCTCCAGGAACGTAATAAACTGACGGTGCTGAAGTCCCCTTGCTCGTATAAAGTTCACAAGTTTTACGACTGGATTCACGACACGATTAAGCTGCAATACAGACTTACACAGGGATTCCTGATGGATGATGCAGTGAAGGAAAATAAGATCCTGGACAGGGTTTTCCTCTTTCACTTTATCCTGGATTCTTTTCAGCAGCCCAACATTTTTTCCAGTTAAATTTGGCGATCCATCCGTTGTGACATTGACAAGTTTACTCCGAGGTAGCGTCATTCTTTCGATGACAGCAGATACCTGGTTATACAAGTCCTCTCCCCGCGTTGTTCCTTTCAGGGACTCTATGGTCAAAACCTCCTCTGTTATCGCAAAACTGTCAATGCCTCGGATAAAAATGAGGAGCTGAGCAGTGTATTTTACGTCCGTACTTTCATCCAGTGCTAGTGAATATAATTCAAAGGAATCAGACTTTTTGTTTAATTGACTGGCTATATTTTTATCAATCAGTTCCACACGGCGAGTCACAGTCCTGCGTGATAAGCTGACTTTTTCAAATTTGCTTTTGATCTCCGGACACAAGATGTCTGCTGTCTGTACCATGCATTCTTTTACAAACTTGCCTTCGGAGAAAGTGGTAATGAGTGGTAATGTTGGTGAGAAGAAGGTTTTAAAAAAATTTAAATCGAAGTGAAGAAGGAAATTATTGAAAAGTTTGTATAATTAATGATTTTTTAAACTTTAATTATGTGTTCTGTGCTTAAAACTCTTTAAAAAACTGTGGGGTCTAGAACGGACTCGTGAAATTTGGAGAGAACTCGGAGTTAAGTGTTGTTTGTTTTGTTGAATTACACAAAGCGTAACAGTTATGTATATAACTTTTGTTATATAAAATTCCTAGTAAGATATTAATTTTGTGAGTGTAGTCATACCCCTCCCCCCATTCAAGCCGTAATTTAGAGAGTGAAAGCGCCGAGTACGTAAATCGCTAACATAAGAACCCGTTAATCTCTTCTCGCATCATTCATACGATGATGCGGTGAAGTAAACGTTGATATGATATTACGGTGAATGCTTCCAAAAACAATACTGTACCCAAATATTACTGTTAACTTACTTTCAATAGAAACATGAATTGCTCATACGAATATTCTCTCTCTCTCAGAATCGACCGACTGATGTAGCAGACGAAACAATCATTTTGTTGAACGATTCTAAACCTTCATGTGGCAATGTTAGTTTTCTCTGTTATTCAAGGTGATCTCAGTGTTATTCAATGTTGTTACATTTAGTTTACTATTACACTGAATTCGATGGCGTAATTAACTATTTTTGTGCTTAATAATCTTAAAAAAAATATTTATATACAGTTGTAGGAGTCTGGAACGGATAATTGTATTTACATACAATCCAATGGGGAAATTAGGTTCGAGTCATGACCAAATCGGGTTGGACAAGTTCGGCGGGCCGGATTAAAAAGTCCAACGGGCCGTATACGGCCCGCGGGCCGTAGTTTGCCCATGTCTGGCCTAGCCCCTCCTCTTCTCCCCATCTCTCTGAACTTCAACCCAATCACCCTCAGCCCACTCCCTTCACTGACTGTGGCCTCCCCCCCTCCTTGATCCCAAGGATCTACTACTCCGCTAAGGGATGGCTTTTCTCTGTTAGCCACAACACCCTCACCCCACTGGAACCCTAACCCCCAAGCAACTCTGCCTGGTCCCCTATGTGCTTACACGTTTCTCCTCGAAACGTTTCCTTGTGACCTCATGCTTTCAGACCCACGCAAATGGTTCTTTTCTCTCACTCGATGCCTTCCCATTCCCACCCCGTTCTCGTCCTGGGCACTTCTACGCTCTCAGATGCTTGTTGCCTCATGGCTGGATTAGAAAATGTAAGTTGTTGTTGTTCTTCTTCTTGGTTCTTTCGGTAAAGTCACGTAGAAGGGAAGTAATAAAATGATAAAAATAAAACATAATAAAATAATTCTCACGACGTTTCGGCCACAACGCAAGCAGCCGTCCTCAGGCGAAAACCAGGTCTGTCGGGGAGACAGCGTCTGAATGAAAAAGCACACGAGCTTGGAGCATATATATCAGCTGGGTTGGGAGGGGGGGAAAGGGCGCTTCGACAAAAAATTTGCATATCAAGAGGAATTTAGCATATTTATGGGAAATGCAGGAATGTGATTAGTACTACATATGCCCGTGCATTATGCAGGATTAGCAGCATCAAAGGGAGGGGATATGGGAAATGCAGGTATGTGAATAGTACTAATTATGCCCGTGTATTCTGCAGGATTAGCAGCATCAAAGGGAGGGGTAGCATTAATGAAGGGAAAAAGTGTTAATATTATGCAGCTGCAGTAACTAAAACCAACACGTAAACAACTAAAGTATAAACTACATAGTATCATCAGTATACTAACTATACTCTACAATAAGCTGAGTTACTAACAGTAAGTGATACATTACAATTCTACGTCGTAAAAATTATATAATATGCTTCCATCTAAACTTTATTCTCTTACATCACACGAGTCTACACCGTACTATATACTGCCATAAACAAACCCAACATTAAATTATATACTGTATTGCTATAAACCACCTTATACATTTTAATATAACACTATGTATTATTCTACCCACCCTAATGTGTATCACACTGCTATATGTTTACTATACAATTACGATACTATATATTACTTTGTACATTGTATTAAGCATATAAATGTTATACTATTTATTATTATACACTGTACCATTGACCGTTGTGTCAATGGGTGAGTCGTGGGGGGAAACTTGCAGCGGAGCAAAGAATCCATTCCCTGCGGAGAATACAATGCCAGTGAGTGGAACGCGGTCTGAAAGTCACCGTAAACGTGAACACAATCAGTTAAGATCCGAAATGGTTTATTACGTCCTTCCAATGATTGCTAAGCCAGAATCCATCTTCTCGGTTGAAATTGTCTCTGTGTTTGTATATGTGGATCGCCTCATGAACGAATCTCTCATGGTAGCCAGATGGCTTGCAGAGAACCTCTGTCTTGGAGAAGTCAATGTCATGTGAGCCCACTGAATTGTAACAGTGATCTGCCACGGCTGAGGTGTTTGTCCTACCGTGTTTCAGGTCTGCTTTATGTTCACGGATGCGGTCCGAGACATGTCGTTTGGTTTCTCCTAAGTAACTGCTACCACAGAGGAAACTTAGTTTGTAGACGCCAGGGTACTGTACGTCTGGAACCACATCTATTATAGACGGGACCAGATTACAGACTTTATGTACTGTGTGGAATCGGACCTGGATCTTGTGTTTAATCAGGATTTCGGAGATCTTTTTTGTGACCCCAGCAATGTAGGGTAAGGTGATGGTCTTGAAAGGCTCCTCAACAGGATCCTTCTTGATGGTTGGAGTGATGGCCTTGCGGATTGTGTAGTCGGAGTAACCATTAGCCTTAAGAGCTTGGTTACTCTGACTACTGCTAATGGTTAATCCGACAACACAATCCGCAAGGCCATCACTCCAACCATCAAGAAGGATCCTGTTGAGGAGCCTTTCAAGACCATCACCTTACCCTACATTGCTGGGGTCACAAAAAAGATCTCCGAAATCCTGATTAAACACAAGATCCAGGTCCGATTCAACACAGTACATAAAATCCGTGATCTGGTCCCGTCTGTAAAAGATGTGGTTCCAGACGTACAGTACCCTGGCGTCTACAAACTAAGTTGCCTCTGTGGTAGCAGTTACATTGGAGAAACCAAACGACATGTCTCGGACCGCATCCATGAAAATAAAGCAGACTTGAAACACGGTAGGACAAACACCTCAGCCGTGGCAGATCACTGTTACAATTCAGTGGGCTCACATGACATTGACTTCTCCAAGACAGAGGTTCTCTGCAAGCCATCTGGCTACCATGAGAGATTCGTTCATGAGGCGATCCACATATACAAACACAGAGACAATTTCAACCGAGAAGATGGATTCTGGCTTAGCAATCACTGCAAGGACGTAATAAACCATTTAGGATCTTAACTGATTGTGTTCACGTTTACGGTGACTTTCAGACCGCGTTCCACTCACTGGCATTGTATTCTCCGCAGGGAATGGATTCTTTGCTCCGCTGCAAGTTTCCTTCCACTACTCACCCATTGACACGACGGTCAATGGTACAGTGTATAATAACAAATAGTATAACATTTATATGCTTAATACAATGTTCAAAGTAATATATAGTATCGTAATTGTATAGTGAATATATAGCAGTGTGATACACATTAGGGTGGGTAGAATAATCCATAGTGTTATATTACAATGTATAAGGTGGTTTATAGCAATACAGTATATAATTTAACGTTGGGTTTGTCTATGGCAGTATATAGTACGGTGTAGACTCGTGTAATGTAAGAGAATAAAGTTTAGATGGAAGCATATTATATAATTTTTACGACGTAGAATTGTAATGTATTACTTACTGTTAGTAACTCAGCTTATTGTAGAGTATAGTTAGTATACTGATGATACTATGTAGTTTATACTTTAGTTGTTTACGTGTTGGTTTTAGTTACTGCAGCTGCATACTATTAACACTCCTTCCCTTTATTAATGCTACCCCTCCCTTTGATGCTGCTAATCCTGTAGAATGCACGGGCATAATTAGTACTATTCACATACCTGCATTTCCCATATCCCCTCCCTTTGATGCTGCTAATCCTGCATAATGCACGGGCATAATATGACTTTAAACCCCCCGCCAAACCTCCTACGCATTTCACATGTAGTACTAATCACATTCCTGCATTTCCCATAAATATGCTAAAGTCCTCTTGATATGCAAATTATTTTGTCGAAGCGCCCTTTCCCCCTCTCCCAACCCAGCTTATATATATGCTCCAAGCTCGTGTGCTGTTTCATTTAGACGCTGTCTCCTCGACAGACCTGGTTTTCACCTGAGGACGGCTGCTTGCGTTGTGGCCGAAACGTCGTGAGAATCATTTTATTATGTTTTATTTTTATTATTTTATTACTTCCCTTCTACGTGACTTTACTGAAAGAACCAAGAAGATGAATCCCTGCAGTCACGAAAGCTTTAAATCGAAATTGTTGTTGTTGTTGAAAAGTTGGAAAAAGGAAAGCTGTGTTGTCTTTCTGCTTGTGTGTCTGTCTGTGTGTCTCCGTGTCTATGTTTTGTCTCTCTCTCAAATTTAGTTCTACCTGATGACGGTTGCTTGTGTTGCAATCGAAACGTCGTACTCTATTATTTAATTTATTTTCTTTCTACGCGACTTTACCGAAAGAACCAAAGAGTAATGCTGAATAAAATTACATGTCAAGCAAGTATAAAGGAGTCGTGAAAGAAAGTTGAACAGGATAGCAGTAATGATGCAAGGAACACGTCACAAGCTGCCTCAAGGGCAGAAATTAGATTAAGTTGTGGAAGGCAAGTGCAATAATACAGACCAACGCGTCGTCACACCTCATATACTAACCTTCTTTCTTTGAAACCAGGAGGTGGCAAGAGAGAAGAGTGAGTCGCGCTTCTCTGCACTGATCTTGTCGAGCAGCGTGCGGGCAGCCAAGGCCGCCATCTTGCGGCAGCGTGCCGAGGCGTCGTTCACCAGCATCAGGCGAGTGGCAAGAAGAACAGACTACTCGACTCAAGCAGCAGTTCCTGCGGGAAGCTCTGGAAGATGCTGACGAGCATCTCCAGGGCAGAGTCGCGGCCCGACTCGTGCTCGTACCTGAAACGGGGAGCACAAAATAGTCGTAAAGGGCACAGTCGAACTCTGCACGAACCCTCACAGCAGACACGCAGACGGCGATACAACACAAACTCAGGTTTTGTACCCGAAGTTGTGCGCTGAAATTTTTTTATATTATTCTGAATTTTTGTTAATTGCAACATCGCCAATAACGGGGATGTGCTTTGGTAATTTGTCATCATGCAAATCTGGCCATTACTCTTACAAACAAATAACAAAAGATTTAATAAACACTATTCATGTGTGTAATGAAATTTTGAATTTTATATCATACACTGCTTCTACCAAATGTTAATTTCCTTTGAGAAATTAAATGTTATAGTGTATACACGAAAGTGGAATTGGGCCGCTTTAAACATATGTCTAAATTCAGGTGCAAAGCAAGTACCTTTCTGGTACTATTTAAAATAATGTTGCATGTATGTCAAACTTCTTTCGCACCATACGTTACCAACCGTGCTAAGAAACAACTCAACTAGTGATTCGTATTGCACACTGAAGTGCCATTAAAAGAAGCCAGATCATACCCTTTGGTTCTTAACTGAAATAACTGTGTGTGGACAACACTATCTGAAAAAAAATCATTTCAACTTTGCACATTACCACGAAATGTGTATTGTCTTCAGAAATAAATAAAAAAACTCGTCATAAGGGATGGCTCATCCACTTTGCATAAAAATTGGTGAACAACAAAAACATACGTGAGCTGTGAAACGATGAACTCCAGGTGTTCACCAAGCTTCTTCCCCAAGGGGTAATCCATTATGAATGTCAGGTACACCTACAAGACGTGTGACAAAAACATTCAAAACCATTAAAGAGCTGAACGCAAATAATTTAACCTCTCTACGCAAGTCACCCGGGATGTCAAGATATATGTTTTGGTTTCAAATTAATTCAGTTAAAAAAAACGTCACTAGATGAATAAAAAAAAATATCCATTAAACATGCCACTGCAAGCAAAAGGTGACCCTGCACAAACCATAAAAAATTTTATCGAAGCATGGGTAACGCTACTACGTGAGCGGAATGCGTTCACTGCATGGTAGCCGTCTTTGCAGGGAACCACCCCACTGGGGTCGTGTTTCTGTCAGAATCAAAATATTTATTTATACTGGAGGAATCCGATGAGCTATAAAGCTCTTTTTCACAGAGGTCCAGTAGGGGCACGGGGTAAGAATGTTCCAACAACAGTACAAAACACGATAGAACACATACAAATACAACTAAACCATCCCCATCCTACTAGGGAAAGCTCACTGAGGTATGAACTTGTGTTTCAAAAGCAACATGGCCACAAATAATTTGGACATTTATAGCAGCAAAATAATCTAAATAGTCTAAACGCATGTTTTCTAAATGCGGAGGGAAAACCTGGAGGACCCCGAGAAAAAATTCACATGACCACGGGGAGAACATGCAAACTTCAAATATACAGGCATCGGGATAGAACCCCCGACCCTCCTGCATACCAGGCGAGGAAGATAACATCACACAACCATATATAAGTTCAAATTGCATAACCTATTCGGAAAGCTTCGGAAAGGCAGGAAAACAATAGCAAAAACAGTTCCAGACCATACCAAGAAAATGCACAGTCCCTTAATTAAAACATTTACGTTAAAATGTAACTCTCAATTAATGTTAAGGATTACATTTACAAATCACATTAACAATATCACACATTTGCCAATGTGCCTATATTACTGTGCGCCCCACCTGCCGGCACTGTACGCGCACCGCCTCCGCCTGGTCCGTGATGGCCAGCTCGGCAACTTTCGTCATCACTTCGTGCATTTCCGGAACCATGAGCCGTCGCTGGACAATGGCCTGTGTGCAAAAGAGAACACGGGGGGGGAACGCGCGAAAACGCTTGCAATTACGGCAACCCCTCCAGGGCACTGCGTGCAGGATTGACTGCTGTGTCGACTAGTGCCATTGTCTTAAAACCAAAAATACTTTAGAATGTGTGACTTGCACAGTTTTAATTCACTCTCGGAGAGAAAGAGAGAAGGTATAATGATTCAGTAGTGCGGGAAATCAGACAAGCGGGAAGGCAGCCAGAACAATGATTTCGACTTCTAGCGTGTCTCACAGCAGTATCTTCTCGCTCTCCAAGCGAGAGAAGGGCTCAAGAGGACCGAGGAACCACAAACGAGTGGGAAAGGCAGCGCAGTCACAGAGGGTCCGCCAGCACCCATTTCCTCCAAGCTCTGCGGTCCTCTATATATTACGGTGTCATCAGTCAATGAATGATGAGTGTTTACTTGTAGGAAGAAACCAGAGCATCCGGAGAAAACCCACATGTGCAAGGGGGGCAAACACTATCCCATACAGACAGAATAAGTTGAGTCCATATTTGTTGTACCGCCTCCTCCTGGCAAGCCAGGGAAAAGCACCTCCTCGACACGACACGGGAAGCGGGTTGACAAACACGATGGAGAAAACCAGAGTGCCCGAAGATAACCCGACAATCCCCGTATAGGTGGAAATGCATCCACTTGCTGTGCTGCCACGAAACCCTGACAAGTCTTAAATTGTTTCCCCACACGTTCACGGATCAGTTGCGACAGCGCAGCACTGCGTGAGGAACAGTTTAAGATGCTATATGAAGAGATCACAATGGTTCATGAGTGCCACGGCCCTGCAGACCACAACTTAAAACGTTATAATATACAGGAAGTGTGTACATTTACACACCCTACTGAATTACAGCTCATGAATGTAGTACATTTCTATGGTTTGCTTCATTGTCACTGCTTCACTTGTGCAATGACATCGCGGGATGCCACTGTGTAGTGCCGGCCCTAGGGAGGCACGGCGTGCGGTGTATTGACATCGCGGATACCACTACGGTGTGGGTGTATTACCGGCCCTAGAGGGGCTCGGTCAGCGCTGATTGAAAGCGCTGAATAGTACCACGCCTGGCGTGCAGTGCCAGCCCTACAGGATAGGGTGTGGAAGTGCCGGCTGTAGGAATTAGGTTATTATCGGCCATGGCACTCTGGTAGACCCGAGAGGACACGTGACCGGTTAAGTCTACAAGGGGGCCCCAAGTGGGGCCTAGGGGTGGTCACGTGATCAGGGTCCAAATCCTGCTCGAGGATTCTGGAAGATGGTCGTGGCCAAGGGCGGAGCCAGCCACGCCGCAAGAGAATATAAGCCGGGTCCCCCAGAGGGACCGGCGTTGTTGTTCATCCCGAAGAAACTTTCGTCTACATTCTACGTTCTACCGAGTCTCCAACAAGTGGACCTGGACCCGAGCTGTGGTCCAGTCCGTAGTAGCAGTTACGTTGTAATTAGTGTAGTTAGCCTGGTGGTAACCACGTAGGTTGTTATTCTGTTAAGGGGAAGTTACCCCGTGTGTTGGTGTTAAATAAATGTGTTGCCTCCAAGAGTAAGTCTGGCCAAACGTTATTTTATTAGTAACGTAGCCGAGTTAGGTTATGTTTACACGATACAGACAATATAACAGGACATCGAATGACGAGGACGATGAAGGCGAAATTCCTCAAACAGCCCCAGGGATGGCGACCCCGGAGAAAGGGAGTGAGGCGCCGTCGGCGGAGCATCGCGTTGCCCATCCAAGCGACAGCTCATCGCCGTCGGGGAAGGAGTGCCGCAGAGCCCGCTCCCGCCTCGCTGAACTCCTCGAAGCTGCGGCGTCGATCGTCGCGGAGCTTGACCGCGAAGAGCCAGTAGTGGAAGAGAGAGCACCGGAGCCGTGCGGGATCGAGCATCCCGTTGCTCTTTCCCGCCAATGGGAAACCTATGTGGCGCAGCCTGCGCAAGCGGCCGCCATTTTGCTTGCGGAGTGGAGTTAAGAGCCCACCAAATCTGTGACTGCGTTGAGTTCGCCTGTTGACATCACATCTCTCAGGTGAAGACTGTCCTTTGTTAAATAATTTTCCGTCGCTAAAGGCGACTTGGGTTGCCTTCAAGCGCAGATTCACGAAGCGGGGTGGATGGAGGCAGAGGCGCTGAAAGCGCTGCCCGCCGTCGGAGAGGGCCACGCGACATCAAGCATTTGCTCAAATGACGTCAATCTACGAACTGCCATCAAATGTGCGGCACAAGTTCGCTCCGCGGGGAGGAGGAGGCCTTCCTGAAAATGGACCACGATGGAGTCGACTCGCTGGTCCTCGAGAGATTGTTGATGTTGGCAAAGGACCTCCACATCGTCCTGCCGGCTGTCAACGAAGACGAGTTGTCTTCTCTCAAGGTTGCAAGATGCATCGAGGCACACCTGCTCTTGCAACGACATAAAGAGTTGGCGGTGTGTACCGCGCCCCGTGATGCGCGCGATACATCCAAAGAGGTGGAGCCCGTCCAAGCCTGCGCATCGACTCAAGGCGGAGGCTGGCGAGGGGATGGCATGGTGCGATGGTATGAACAACTTCAAGGGTGAAAGACCTCTCCTCGTCCTGGGAACGGGCTTGTCATGTGCTAAAAGTGCAGCCTGCCGGGGCATGTCTCGTTGGGCTGTCGCGTTCCACAACGACGCCTCCACGGACCGCCGCCGTCGTCCGCCCGACCGTCCTCCACTCCACTATACCCGAAGGCGAATCGCGACACATCACACACTCGGCCCTGAATCCACCTCACTCATCGCGTTCGGTCGGTTTTCATTCCCGTCGTGCGTCGGTGCGTGAGGGTTCGCAATTTTCTCAGGCTGACTGGTCGCTCCGACCGGGTCAGTGGTCGGAGTTGGCCCATAGAGTGGCTGCCGCGACCGCAGGTTCATCCACTGTTATCGGATTGATAGAGGGGGTTGAAATCAGAATGCTTGTCGATACTGGTGTGTCAACGACTATCATTTCCGAGTTTATTTTTAACATCTTGCCCCCTAAAAGTCGTACCCTATGTCCCGTCGGGGCTCCGTGCTTTGCCGCAAACGGCGGCTCATTGGGCATCATTGGGAAAATAACAGCGGAGGTGTGCATTGGAGATATCAAAATGACGGGACCAGTTCTTGTATCAAGGTCCATTGCTATTCCTTGATTGCTTGGGATTGACTTTTTAGGGAAGATGACCCTGAAAATTTAGATCGATCAAGGGTGGCTTGAGTTACCATGGGGCCGTTGAATGGCCTTTTTGAGTTGAATGCACGACCATTCTCATTGCAATTCACATGCTCTTAACAACTACAATGCCACGCAGCTGGATATAAATGTTACAAGTATTGGTATATTGTGAGATAGTTCTCAACATCTCAAATTATTTTTTCCTTCAATTTCCCATTTAATTGTGCAGGAAGTAATTTTACCCAATGCTCTATCCTAGGAAAGGCGACTTGCTTTGAGCATGCCGGTTTACCTTGAGGAAAACGTTGGAACATACAAGGGTTCCAGTCAATTAAATAACTCGATACTCTTGGCTAAACAGGTTTAGCCAAATATATCCCACGACGAGCTGAGCAGACTAAAGAACACCGATTTCTTGTGGAAAAGTGACGTCGATAAACAAAAGGAGCAGCAATGGGCTCTCGTTTGTCTCCTGTTATTGCAAATTTGTACATGGAAGACTTTAAAACAAAAGCAATAGCTTCAAGCACACTAAAACCCTCTGTTTGGTTTAGATATGTGGATAACACATTGGTGGTCTAGCTACACGGTAAAGATACACATTGAATTTCTAAATAATCTCAACTCACAAAACCTGTCCATATGTCGATGGTGATTAACTGTGAGCAGCCAAAAACAGGTATTGCGATTTCTTGCACCCAACAAAGCGACATGATATGTAGGCATGGTGTGCATACATAATGTGCATGCATAATTGATGTGCATTGCACAAGCACATTGTGCATGCACATTATGTATTTTGATTACCTTATAAATAACCCAACCGCTAATGGTCATCCATTGTAATTTGTATGAAAACATTAACCCTCCCCCTCTGGTCTTCACACCTGATTGACTCACAAGTAACGACATCACATTTACCCCCTCCTATTTATTCCTCCACAGCTCTGGCTGTCGCCTGATGATGCTAGTTTTAATTACTGGCAAATGTCATGATACTCGAATTGTAAATGTTGTGGGTTTACTCTCCAACACACAACCAGTGTGCTGAACTAGTAACGAATGGGCACATTTTGTTTTACGTGACAAACCTTACTAATTGACTGTGTCGGGTGGTGGTGGGTTTGACGACGCATTTATATTTACGCAATCTAACCCAAAAAACACTTCTGTAATGGATTACCTTGAGGAGTCCGAAGGCTGTGGCCTGGCGAGATGAGTCATGGATGTCCTCTTCCGCATACCCCAGCAGCACCTGAAGCTGCTTCTCTGTGAGCTGGCTCTTCTCCATGTGGCGCACAAGCACCGTCATCACCTGAGGCACACAAAACCACAATGGCCCCATCCAATGTTACTTTTCGTCTGATTCAAAAGGATCTAAATGCTAGCACGTCTAAACGTGTACATTGCTCTATAAAGGTTGTCTAGCATCATTGATTGCCCTCTATGGTAATGCTAAAAGGAAAACAAATACAACCCAAACTAACCTGTGTTATAGACTTGGTAATAAAAGCACTTCACCTTTGCATAAGTCCATGATAATTATAAAACAGAAAAGTGCCTGGCTTTATAATTTAGTTTTATTTTCATGTACAGGCCATACCCTGGTTTACGCCCAGGATGTGTTCCTGAAAACCAGAACGTAAATCGAAAGTACTTAAATCGAAGCAAAAAGATGGGATGGTGGATCGTAACATGGTAAGTACCGAAACAGGATGCTCAGTAATCCATTGCCCATCTATACTTAGTATGTAGTTCAGTACTGTGCTCAGTCCACTGCCCACATGAGCGTTTATAGCCATTGGTAAACAGATTATATATTCAAACTTTCGTGACTGCAGAAATTCATATTCTTTGGGTCTTTTGGTAAAGCCACATGGCCTTAACGAAAGACCCAAAGAGTAGATGATATATTATTGGTAAATTTAAAGTAATAAAAGCATATATACAAATAAGTGCATACTTTAGAAGTGGTTTTGAGCGAATCAAAGACATCTTTCCAAAAAAAACTGAATCAGCAGGAATGGCAGTGTCCAGGTCCTTTAGGCACGATTAAATATTTAAGGAGACACACGCTCATAGGCTCCAAATCACCTGGACTTAGATAACGACACCAATGAGGATAATGGAAAGGCTAAATAATTTACTGACGAACACTTTTGCCAAGAAAGACACATTTACCAAGGCGGCTGTAAAAATTTCTGAAACGTCACTATTAAAGAAGCTGTTCACTATCCAAGCACTCTCAGCCACTCTGTGACACGGGCCTCCAGATTTTTCTGCCACATACAAAAAGTTGACACCGAGTTTTTGTCATTTCACACCATTTATGTAGGATGTGTACATTCTACGGTGTGAAAAAAGTTCAATATACATACGTCCTCTGGGAGAGAAAAAAATATTTAGTCAGAACATTTATCTGTCCTCACTGGAACAAATCGTATGCTAGGGAAGTAATAATAACCCCACTTGGTATACGTGAAGTGTTGTCCACCTCGTGCATCGCAGCACCTCACCAATTCGCACAGTGAAGTGAACGGTCTGGACATTGTCGTAACAAAGAGCCATTAAATATGAATCACTCGGCGCAGCAGCTGAAGCAATAGACACGTGGTCTTAATTCTCCACACATATACTGTGATTCGATAAATGGGTAAATCTCAGTTAGCCGATTGGAAGGTCATGTGTGCTGGGGTCAACTGTGGTAACTAATACAACCTCTTCTGAGACATCTGGCCAGCACGAAAACGTTGGCTAAAATACACTCAAGAAGCTCTCGATAGAATCCCCTTCTATCTTGATTTGAAGCTTTCGTGACTGCAGGAATCCATACTCTTTGGTTCTTTCGGTAAAGTCACATAGGTATAAAATAAATCACGACGTTTCGGGTGCAACACAAGCGTCCATCATCAGATGATGGAAGCGTCCATCAGATGATCAGATGATGGACGCTTGTGTTGCGCCCGAAACATCATGATTTATTTTATTTATACCTACGTGACGTTATCGAAAGAATCAAAGAGTATGAATCCCCTTTTAGAAGAGGCCTTTCCGTCTGCAGTGGTGACATCAGCCAGCAATTGCAGGGCTACACCTTTTACTTTAATGCAGAGGATCACAGGCTCGTTTGTTCACTCAACGCACAGCAGCGAGGTGCAGCGCAGCGCCTGACCTTGAAGCAGGAAAGGATCATCTCGAAGTTGTCCCCCTTGGCAGCGCCGGCGCACGCGTAGTTTTTGAGCAGGAGGAAAAGCTGCTTGGTGAGGCGGTCGGCGAGCCTCCCCAGGGAAGGGAGGGGGCAGCGCAGCGACCAGGCCAGACACCGCAGGGCGCTCGCTACCACCTGCCAGAGGAGACACGGGGCGCGGGCGGTGTGGCATGTGGTGGAGAAAAAAAAGACCAAAAAGGGAAGTTTTGAGGGATGGGTCAAGGGAACGGATGAAGGGGGCAAAAAGGATTGTCAGGTGGAACAGTGAAGGGCAGTAATTTGTGGTCACGATTCGATTCAACAATGAATTACCGTGCATTACAGCATCTCTAGTGACTGCATACAGCATATGGAAATCATAAGCATTCACAGATCATTTGAAGCATGTATCATCATAAGTAGATATGAATTATTTATTTTACTCAGTGTTATACCCCGAGTAGAGACATAAATGGAGCACTTGGGGTGGGCAGCAAACATTACAAGATACAATCAATTTTTTTTAATTTTTAAACAGTTTCTGGGCAAAGGCCCCAACATATCTAGTCGCCAGTAACAAATATATAATGGGAGATTTCAAAGTAGAGCAGTGCAAGGAAAGAAGCTAAACAATTAGCGTTGTGACCTGCAAATAGGGTGAGTGGGTGAGTGCATAAGTGCATGGTGAGTGGGTGTGTTGTGACTGGGTAAGCGATTCTAGATTTGAAGCTTTCGTGACTGCAAGGATTCGTATTCTTAGGTTTTTTTCGGTAAAGTCACGTAGGTAAAACATTAAAATTAATAAAAGTAAAATAAAATAAAAATCACGACGTTTCGGAGGCAACACAAGCTTCCGTCTTCAGTAGGAACCGTCACAGCCATGACAGCTGTATCAAGTAAATGAGAGATTACAAGAGCTACCACTCCGTATATATAATGGTTGGACAGGGGGGAAGGGCCAAGTACGGCACACTTTTTTATTAATATGGTAAGGTGAGGCTTAAGAGGCTGAGCCTTTGCTATGGAGAGGTACGGTTTGTGACTAAGCCTGGCCTACATAACAATAGTGTGAAAAAAGAAACAACTAAGAATAATGGGTAAGCGAGTTGTTGGGATATGTAGCGTGGTGGCTGAACAAGGTATAGTTGAGATAAAACAGTCTTTTAGGCTGAATTCCTTGACATTGCTGATGGAATCAATGAGAGAAGTTAATAGCTGCAGTAATTTTGGTCGTAGCGATAGAAGAGTGATAGGGAGGCGACTAGCCGCCGGTGAGCGAACGACAGGAGCGAGTCCGCGAGTGCTGCAAGTGGCAGCTCTGCTGTGTGGGAGGGCACGGGCACCTTGACGTGTTTGGAGTCCAAACAGTCGCACAGCAGCAAAACAAACGGGTCCACCATTTCCAAGACTTTCTTCTCAGTCATTTTCACCTTCGACCTCTTCAGTGTCAGATGCAAAACCTGAAAATTAACAAAAACAGATTACTTCAGTAAAGCACGTACTTAAGGCAACGATGGAAATATCGAGAAATGAGCTCACAGCATGAATAATAAAACCACTGAATTATAATTCGATTTAAAGCTTTCGTGCCTGCAGGGATTCATCTTCTTGGTTCTTTCTGTAAAGTCACGTAGAAGGAAAATAATAAAAATAAAACATAATAAAATAATTCTCACGACGTTTCGGCCACAACGCAATCAGCCGTCTTCAGGTGGAGAACAGGTCTGTCAAGTAGACAGTCTGAATGGCACGCCCCAGGCTTGGAGCGACTATTTATGCTTAGAGTCGCGGCATCTCTTCAGAAACGTGAAGACGGCTGCTTGCGTTGTGGCCGAAACGTCGTGAGAATTATTTTATTATGTTTTATTTTTATTATTTTATTATTTCCATCTACGTGACTTTACCGAAAGAACCAAGAAGATGAATCCCTGCAGTCACGAAAGCTTTAAATCGAAATTTAACCTCCACTACGGGGTGGGTTTCCACAAAACTTTAAGATGCTTCAACAAGCTCCGGGATAAGAAGGCTCAGCTAATCGAGTCTCTCACCTTTCTGAAGAGATGCCGCGACTCTAAGCATAAATAGTCGCTCCAAGCCTGGGGCGTGCCATTCGGATTGTCTACTTGACAGACCTGTTCTCCACCTGAAGACGGCTGCTTGCGTTGTGGCCGAAACGTCGTGAGAATTATTTTATTATGTTTTATTTTTATTATTTTCCTTCTACGTGACTTTACCGAAAGAACCAAGAACACTGAATTATAATTTATTTAAAACAAATAGAATTAACCTTTTAGAGAATGCACCAAAAATACTGCAGATTGTAATCACTGCAGAGGTGATGTGGAGGCATAAACGACACAACCCCCCAGGTGGCTTCTTTGCTTGATTTCGTGGCCGTAGCAAAATTTCGAGAATGCGGAAATTAATTTCATCAATCTAAATGTGTCCATAATTTGTTAATTGCGTTCACGCGAAACTTCGTAAACCGAATGTTCGTAAATCGAGGTAGACCTGTAGCTTCCTATTTATTTAATGACTTTTGCTGGTACTTATTATGGTTCAAGTTCAGGTTTATTTTGTTTAACCAGCTGAGAATTCAAGACACCAGGATAGACTCATTTACAAGAGTGACCTGGGGTATTATTCTGCCAGTAGGGGGGCGATGATTGCTGCTGTGTGTAATCCCATTTGAGTCATTTGCGGGAAAAATTCAAATCGGGACCCTGATGCCAGCACACAACGGCCCACTCTTGTGAATGACGTCACGGGATCTTTCATGTCCACTGTGAAGCAAAGGCGCGTTGTACGAGAGTTCTTACACCTTCGGTGTGAACCAGGACAGCCGCTGGCTGTGAACCGTGAGCCTCTGCAAAAAGTGGCGAATGCGCAACCCACTGGGCCGCGTCACCAATGCAGTCGGACTGAACACAAGGTTGAGGGAATGCGAGACACCTTTGTGAAGTTTGCTCCAGTTCGGTTTCATTATTGCAAGTTGTTCAAAGAAATCGCAGGATGAGTTGAATAGAGGCCTATTTATAGTATAGGATGCAAAATAAAATTGGTCTTCATTGAAAAAACACAGTTTATTTTGTCTGAAAGCCAAACATGTTCTGGCCATACGTAATTACTCGGATAGTGGAGAATTCAGTTGCAACATGAGAATGTCATATCGGCATGCCTGCTCTATTGCGCAGCTGCCAGACCTCCACCGGTACACGCGCTCACGGGCGGGCGCAGGTCTGACAACCGCACGGTGGCACCGGCGCGCAGTGAGACGCGGAGCGTGCGGACAGACCTGCAGGCCAAACTCCACTAGGATGTGCACGTTGGTGCGTGCGTTGACCGCCGCCTTTTCCCCGCCGCGCGTTGGGGTCGGAGGCAGCAGCAGGCAGCTGGGGGGCCGCGCGTTCGGGGCCGAGAGCGCTGCTACGCGGTCCTTACTGCACTCCGCATACAGCAATCGCACGCGCACACACAAACACGCCACGTCATTAACACGAACTTCACCTGGGTCCTTTGGCACATGAAGGCTTATAAGCGCTGTAACCGTACGAAGATTAACGTATCACGTACATTGCCTAAGCTAACAATAAGCTGGCGTTTATTGATATTGTTTTCTACAGGGAGCCACTACTACTGACTGCACAGCTGTATGAATGTTGTATCTGTGCCAGAAAGTCAGCGGCACGTATATTGTGACGTTGCAATGTCTGGTAGATAATCTTCTAATCTATGACAGGCATTTTTTGTCTGTCTGTGTGTGGCCGACACTTGCGAGGGATTTGGTTTGCGAACAGTGGGGTTTATGTTTTAAAAAAGTACCCAGGTAACACAGCATAAGCCCGTGGTGAGCCAGCGCTATTCCGATTTCGTGTCTGTCACCTTTAAAGTACTTTAATTAGCGATTTAGTGCTGTTCATTATTATTTATTTATTACGTTGCACCTCCGGGCGTGCGCCAAAGCACGCATCTGCGCATGCGCGCCCCTACCAAGGCACACGCGTTAGGTGGGGGGCAGGGGGGAATTCTTATTCGTGTGGACACTGCGCAAGGTAATACACAGATTTACAACTCCCTTCAAACATTACCATGACTGTTTACTCATTACTATTCCTGTTATGAAATATTTTATGACAAGGGATTAGTTCATCTAAGTAACACGATTTTTAACCCTGAGTACTATGTTCTATTTTGAAATTGGCTACTATTCCCCACAAACTTTGCTTTTGCGACCACGTCTTTATGTGAGGGAATGACACTTATGTACAAGTTTTCTCTTTGAAAATAGGTACAATTCTAAATGTCACTGTCCTGCTCACAAAAAAACAAGTTTAAGGGAATAATAGCCTTTTCTGTACTCTTGAGGCATAAGCAGCCACGTAATGTCACTTGCTGCACAGGGGAAAACAAATAAATATACTAAATGCAATTACGTCTTCATTCTAACATATTTACACTTGCCCCCTCAGTACAGGGGTTGGAGCAGTAACATTATGTCAATTAGGCTTAATTGGTGCGCATCTGCTCATAGTTACAGGTAGGATAAGTTTATTTATTATTCGTTAACTTTCATTTATTTACTGCTTTTGCTCGAGGCAAATGTTTGCACATAAATGGCGGAACACCATTGTCACCGCTCTTAATTACTTACTTATTATACACGCGTGCATTTCCCCTCTTCCTTGGTTCTTTCGCTAAAATCACTTAGAAAACTATTTAAAAACGTAGTAAATATAAAAGTAATAATGTGTGTGTACGTCGATGTATGTGTAGTGGTGATACGCGCTGGCAGTAGGGATCGTGTGGCAGCGCGTGGTGATTGGCTGTGTGTCGGTGACGCGCGCTGACGGTGAGGGATCATAGGGCAGCGCGGAGTCATGGGTTATGTGGTGGTGATTGGCTGTGTGTTGGTGACGCGCGCTGACAGGGAGTGATCGTGTGGCAGCGCGGGGTGATTGGTTGTGTGGTGGTAACACGCCCTGGGAAAACGAATCGTATGGCAGCGCGTCGTGATTGGTCGACTAGGGTGGGTGCTCACATCGCGGTCCGCATAGGCTCCGTCTCCTCAGGAGCGGAGGGCTATATAAGGCGGTGCGCGCGGGCGCTCGAGGAGTTCGTGACCAGTGAAGACGGAAGACGGAGGAGGAAGAGGTAGGGCCCTGAGACCCCTAGTCCCGCTGTCCTTGTAAGGGCCGGGACCCTGTGTGGCTCAGAGGCGGGACCTTGGGACCCGGGGCCGGACGTCCGTGTGAGGGCCGGGCCACGGGACCCAGTGGTCGTGACCCATACCCAAGCTGGGGTGGGTCTGTAGGTTCCCCTGGAAGCTACGGGGCTGGAGAGCCCGTGTGTGTAGCCGGGTGGAACGTGTAGCGTGAGCTGTAGTGTCCACACGTGTTATTGTGGCTAAGGAAGAGCTGTAGTTGTCCACACGTGTCATTGTGCCAAGGAAAGAGTTAATAAAGTGTGCTACCCGTCAAGTGGTCTCCCGCCGTAATTTACAATACTACAACTGGCGTCAGGAGTGAAACAGTCTTCCTGCCATGGATACCAGGAAGACTCATCGGACTCACGAGCGTGACCGGGAGGAAAACCACGACGACTCGGGCCAGCAGGCATCGGGGGAGAAGAGGAGGACATGCCGGCGCCACAGGACCCCTCATGGGCGCCCAACGAGCCGCTGGGGGCTGATGCCGGACTCCGCGACGCGCACTCCCGCCTGGCAGAGCTGCTACTCGCCGCGGCGTCCATCCTAGCGGAGATCACCACGGCTGGAGGAGCAAGAACGCCGACGGACATTGAAAGGGGTCGCGTTGCAGATTCCCGCCAAAATAACTTTGAAATTCCCGCCATTTCTGCCGATCGACCATCTGTTGGCGGGAATCGCGAGCAACACGTGGCGGGGGTCCTCCAATCTCTGCCGCTCACGTCATCAGCGGCGCTACGGGCCGCCATCAGCCACCCGCCACAGGGGCCGCCATTTTGCATGTCGACGGTGCGGCGCGGGAGAGTCACGAGGCGGAGGACGACATTATTTTCCAGCAGCGTCTTCCCGCGTTGACAGCCTTCAAAGCGGAAGGGGGTGACTGGGGCGCATTCCAGCGAAGATTTCTCGCCCATCAAGAGATGTCGGCCTGGTCCGACGCTACGGCGCTGCGGGCACTGCCTGCCATGTTGGACGACGACGCGCTCGCGGCCTTCAGGTCCGCACCGAGATCGGCCCGCTCCACGCTCAAGGCTGCGCTGGGCCTCATGGCCAAGGTGTACGGCCCACCTTCGGCCTGCCGCCACCAATTTTACGAACGACGGAAGGCGGACACGGAGACCGCGCTCGCCTACCGCACGGCGTTGTTGGCCCTCGCGGACGCCGCGTTCCCTCGTATGGACGAGGAGGGGCAGGACGCTATGGTTTTGGAACAACTGCTGAAGTTGGCGCACGACCTGGGGGTCCCCATCAACACAGCCGACGAAGTCGACATATGTTCGTTGCGTGTTGCAACGAGTATCCAGGCGCACGAGGTCCTGAAGCGGAAACAGGTGGTCGTCTGCACTGCTGCCGCGGTCTCAGCTCCGGCCACGGTGGTCACCGAGCCCCAGGTCGTTCACCCACGGGAGGAGGCGTTCGCTGCAGCACGACCGGGGATTGGAGGTCGGGGGTCGTTCGCCTCTGCGATCGGCCCGCAAGCTGGAGCAACCGAGACCTCCGACGTCCCTCATCACGTGCTACAACTGCGGCCTTCGGGGCCACGTGGCGTCCGGGTGCCGCGCTCCACGTCAGCGTGCCACGGGACCTCGGCTGGACGACGACCAAGGCCCCAAGTCGTCCCAACTACCCCCGGCAAGTCGCGGCACTTCACATGCTCGGCCTACATACACGACACACATGGGCCGTCGCTTTGCGGCGGAGGATGTGCGATTGGGGGTCGGGGATTCGGTTCGGAGAGGGGGGTTCGTACGGGGCCGGGGGACGTTAAATGGTCCGAGTTGGGCCACAGAATAGTGGCTGCGTCGGCGGGTTCCTCGGTCGTTACGGGATTCATAGACGGGGTCGAGGTCAGGGTGTTGGTGGACACGGGAGCGTCGGCGACTATAATTTCCGACCTCATTTATAACATTCTCCCCGTCCAATGTCGACCTCTGCTTCCGGTGGACGTGCCATTTTACGCTGCAAATGGGGGCTCATTGGGTATTATCGGTCAGATTCGGGCGACCATTTGCATAGGGGATATTAAATTGGCGGGACCTGTTTTCGTCTCCTCTTCCCTAGCGGTTCCTTGTCTGTTGGGCACAGATTTTTTGGCTAAGATGCCCATTAAAATTCTCGTGGATCAACGTTGTATTGAGCTGCCATCGGGTCGCCGTATTTCATTTTTATCTAATCCTACTGAAATACGGACGGCGTGTGCGACGATCCAAGCGCTAGCGACACAGACGGTGCACGTGCCCCCGGGTTCGCAGATGTTGATACCCCTCCGGTTGCGGAAGCCATTGGGTGGAGAGGCTGCGGGACAAGGCGTGCTTTTGGGTCCATCGAATAGAGCTGTCGGCGGTCTGGATTTGGCGGTGGCTCAAACGTTGGTTCGGGCTGACGAGGACCCGTTCGTTATGGTTTTAAACGCTGGTTCGCGGCCGGCCGTTATTCCGCAGGGCACCGTGCTTGCTCATGCGGCACGGGTCCCTGCGGAAGAGCGCCTTATTGCACATGTTGATCCCGTCCCGGCGCAGAAAATTCTATCGGGTGATGACCTTGGATGGGTCGATTCGCTGTGTGCGGACTCCACTGATTTGTCAAGGGTGCAATTGGGTGCGCTGCGCGCTCTGCTGATCGAATTCTCCGATGTGTTCAGCAAGCACAAATATGATATTGGGTGCACGGACCTGTTACGCCACCACATTGAAACAGGTGACGCGGCACCAGTCCGGCAGAATCCCTTCCGGCTGAGTCCTGCCGAGAAGGAACACGTTCAATCGGCCGTCAATGACATGCTGACGGCCGACATCATTTCGCCCTCATCCAGTCCGTGGGGAGCACCTATCGTGCTGGTTAAGAAGCAAGACGGGTCCTTGCGTTTTTGTGTAGATTTCCGTCGCCTTAATAAAATCTCTGTGGCTGACGCATATCCGCTCCCTAGGATGGATGAGTCCCTGGACGCATTGTCCGGGGCGCGGTATTTTTCTCCACTTGACTTACTGTCGGGATTCTGGCAGTTGCCACTCGACGATGAGTCTAAACCTAAGACCGCATTCCGGACCCCAGGGGGCCTGTTCCAGTTCAACCGCTTGCCCATGGGGCTCCATTCCGCTCCCGCGACGTTTCAGCGCCTCATGGAATTGGTTTTGTCGGGTCTGCAATGGGATACTTGCTTAATTTACCTCGACGATGTAATTGTTTTCAGTAAAACTTTTGAGGAACACCTCCAGCGATTGAGAGGGGTGTTCTTGCGGATGCGATCGGCTAAGTTGAAGTTTAAACCGGCGAAATGCCACCTTCTTCGGAAATCCGTGAGGTACTTGGGCCACATTGTCGATTCTTCAGGGATCTCCACCGATCCCGCGAAGACGAACTGTGTCAGTTCATGGCCAACGCCCACGTCGGTTTCTGAGGTCCGCAGCTTCATTGGTTTTGCTTCCTACTACCGCCGATTCGTTGAGCATTTCGCCACCATTGCCAAACCCTTGCACGCTCTAACAGCCAAAGGAGTCAGGTTTCGATGGGGGCCAGAGGAGGAGGCCGCGTTCTGCTCCCTCCAGGACGCCTTGGTGGGTGCCCCGCTCTTACGTTACCCTGTATGTATGTATGTATGTGTAAGTCCATGTGTGTGTGTAAGTCGCTGCGTGTGTGTGTAAGTCAATGTACAAGTCAATATGTGTAAGTCGATGTGTATGTGTCAGTCACTGTGTGTGTGTGTGTGTCAGTCGCTGTGTGTGTGTGTGTCAGTCGCTGTGTGTGTCAGTCGCTGTGTGTGTGTGTAAGTCGATGTGCATAAGTTGATGTGTGTGCGAGTCGATGTATGTGTGTGCGAGTCGATGTATGTGTGTGCGAGTCGATGTATGTGTGTGCGAGTCGATGTATGTGTGTGTGAGTCGATGTATGTGTGTGTGAGTCAATCTGTGTGTGTGCGAGTCCATTTGTGTGTTTAAGTCGATGTGTGTGTGTGTAAGTCGGTGTGTGTGTGTCTGAGGCGATGGGTGTGAGTCGATGTGTGTGTACGTCGATGTATGTGTGTGTGAGTGGATGTATGTGTGTGAGTAGATGTATGTGTGTGTGTCGATGTGTGTGTGAGTCAATGTATGTAAGTGAGTCGATGTGTAAGTCCATGTGTCTGTGAGTCGCTGTGTGTGTTTAAGTCCATGTGTGTGTGTGTGTGAGTCGATGTGTGTGTGTGAGTCGATGTGTGTGTGGGTCGAAGTGTGTAAGTCGATGTGTGTGTGTGTGAGTCGATGTGTGTGTGGGTGGAAGTGTGTAAGTCGATAAGTGTGTAAGTCGATGTGTGTGAGTCGATGTCTGTGTGAGTCGATGTGTGTGTGTAAGTCCATATGTGCGTGTGTAAGTCGCTGTGCGTGTGTAAGTCGTTGTGTGTGTGCAAGTCGATGTGTGTGTGTGTCTGAGTCGATGTGTGTGTGAATCTGTGTGGGTGTGTGTGAGTCCGTGTGTGTGTGAGTCCATGTGTGTGTGTGAGTCGATGTCTGTGCGAGTCGATGTATGCGTGTGTAAGTCCATATGTGCGTGTGTAAGTCTATGTGTGTGTGAGTCGATGTATGTGTGTGCGAGTCGATGTATGTGTGTTCGAGTCAATCTGTGTGTGTGCGAGTCCATTTGTGTGTATAAGTCGATGTGTGTGTGAGTCAGTGTGTGTGTGTCTGAGAGGTAGCGTAGCGGTTAGCGCGCTGCGCTACAAACCCAGCGATTCGAGTTCAATTCCCGCTCACGGCCAACATCAGGGACGATTATCTGAACCGGTCCTAGGCATCCCCTAGGTCGACTCAGCCTCAAATGAGTACCTAGTGCGATGTGTAAAAATCGCCACTGGGAAGACAAAGGCGGCCGGGCGTGGTGTTGGCCACACCACCCCCTCGTGTGCCGTGCTGGCTTCATAGGTGCTCGCTAACAGCACTTGCCCCTACAGTCTGTTCAGGCTATACGGGGGACCTTTGTTTTGTGTGTGCGTCGATCTGTGTGTGTGTCTAAGTCGATGTGTGTGTAAGTCGATGTGTGTGTAAGTCGATGTATGTGGTCTTTTTGCCCGGGCAACGCCGGGTACTTCCCGCTAGTACAGTAATCCCTCGCCACTTCGCGGTTCAAGTTTCGCGGCCTCAGTGCATCGCGGATTTTTCAAAAATATTCATTGAAAAATTAAAATTCAAAAATACCGCCATATCGGCAGCCGATTTGCGGAAAGCAGCATTGTTTCATCGTGATGCACGAGAGAAACGGTTTCCCAGGATGCCAGACAAAAAGAGAAACTCTCTCAGAGGCTTTGTACATACCCACGGGCACTCAGACAAGGCACGTGATTGGTTCCCGGCGCGAGATAACACCATCATCATCATCATTCATCATCACATTCATCGAACTGCACAGGTCTGTCATCGTCGTCATTGTCATCATCATTGTCATCGTCGTCGTCGTCATTACTGGAGTCAAGTCTCAAGATACTACTGTCATTGGTGAGTGTAGAACACCATAATACGTATCGTATGAGAGAGAGAGAGTGAATGTATAATATAAAGGTTTTATAATTAAATAGATTTAAGTAAAATATATGTATAAAGTATAAATATACATATTTTAAACATTCTGGTACCCACACACACATATACGGAAATTCCTAGGGGGCCAATCCTACTTCGTGGATTTTCACCTATCGCGAGGGGTTCCGGTCCCCATTAACCGCGATAAACGAGGGATCACTGTATTATTTTAGTATAATCTGCATTCTCGTATCATGTGAAGCTTATATACATAGATGAGCATATGGACATGAATAGTCACTGCATATATAAACACACTTGCACACATACCAATTCATGCAATAGCGCAGCTTCAATATGCTCAAATTCAAAGTGATTTCCTGCTCATTCAGGTTGTAGATCCATACCTGTCAACCCATACGGTTTACCCATATTCTTGTACAGGGAAATTTAGTTTTCAGGTCCATACGGCGTTCAGCCGTTTCAATACGGGAAAACAAAACATTGTATATTTGTTTGCGTTTCTACCTTGTGAGTGGACTTTGTAGGATGAACGTTGAGATTTTTCAGGCACAGGGTGACCAATAAGGTCTGAATTGATCTGTAATAAGGTAGGCACTAATATGGGGTTGACAGGAATGTAGTTCATCTCCTGGAAACTCCACAATGCTGTGGTGGAACTGAATCTATTCAGGGGACAAGCACTGTTGAATTTCCCACCAAGTAGTCCTCATATTTGACACCTCAGTTCTGATGGGCTGAATCGACCCCCAACCAGCATTTGAACTCACAACCTTAAGATTGCAAGGCACTTATTCTACTGCTAAGCCATTCACCCATGGTTCAATATTGCTCGAGGCTCAGAGCCAGATGAATGTGTAGTGCCGTAGATGGGCCACGCTTACCGGCAGTCGTAGACGGCGTCCATCTGCAAGGGTACCCCGTACCGCCAGCAGCCCCTCCCCTCTTGGGCTGCTGTGTCTGCCCAAGAGGGGAGGGGCTGCTTGGGTTTCAGGACCCCAGAGAGCTAATCCCCTCGGCGCCACCAACGGGGGGGGGGGGGGGGGGGCTGCGAGGGATCTACGATCTCACGCAACGCCACCCCTCGATGGGCAAAGGGGCATAAAAGGGGACCTCCCCAGCCGATCGGGACCAGTCGCAGACGAAGTACGAAGAACAGCCAGCTTAGGACCCTCGACCCCTCGCCCCGCTTATCCTTGTAAGGGCCGGGACGCTGTGCGGGCCAGTGGTGGGAATATGGGACACCCAGCTCTACGCCCTTGTAAGGGCGAGGTCCAAGGAAGCCAGAGTCTAGACCCGCACCATGGCTGGGTCGGGTCAGGTAGCCTCCCCTAGGGTAGTTGTAGCCGGAGGACCCGAGAGCGTAGCCAGTGTCAGGCACGATAGAAGTAGGCTGTGTCCCTAGGCTGTAACAGTGTATCAGGACTGTTGGAGTGGTGTATTGTAATAAAGAAGTTACATCTACAAAGTGTCTCCAGAACCAATTACAAATGCACTTTCAAGGCTTCTTGAGGTTCAACATTAATGCCCAAAACTCCAGTAACGAGAGCGATATAGCAACAGGAATTTCCATTGACTTCCATTAGATAATTGTAGATGCATTCCTATTGAAAATATTTGAGCCCCAAGACGTGGTAATAAAGCACACTTAAAGCAGAAAACATTTTATGCACCACAAAATGTACACAAGGACAATGGGGACATTGTTCGATTTTTCTCCAAAATGTAAAAAAAGTATAATTTAGGGATTAAAATCCCTTATATGCGATTTTCATATAACGTACATTGTATTTGTTCCTTAACGTGCGAGTTACATTTTAGCGAAATCCCGTACATTGAGTTACCTCGTAATGAGGGGTGAATGTAATTAAAGCTAGTGAAATGAAAAAAATATCCTGAATGGAATCGATTCTTTCTTGCCAGGAATACGAACACAGTGAATCTGTTGGTAAGTAAAATCTAATTTATTGACTGAGTTAGTGACTGCTTTGGTTAGGAAAGCAAGCCAACAAAGGGAAGTTATATGTGACTTTACCGAAAGAACCAAGAGTATGGATCCTTGCAGTCACAAAAACTTCAAATCTAGAAAGGGAAGTTAAACAACAAGGCCAAGCAAGTTTTTTTTAGCGGATGCTGCACAAACCTGGCTTTCTTGATGAGGATGGGCAGACTGTCCGTGATCATGGCGTGACTCAGCAGGAGATAGGTGTCTCCCGTGAGCTGGCAGTTCTCGAGCAGACCCAGAACCAGGCGGCGCAAGCACTCCTGCACCTTGTGAGCCACTTTGTGGCTCATCGTGCCCTCCAGCACCTGTTGCCACCAGAGTTGGGTTACATTGCTGAACACCACATAAACCCAACCTAATCCACGTGGATATGTGCATGCTCTGGATATGAGTAGAATTAATAAATGGATGGAATGACCCAGTTATATTTTGCAAACCGAGTCAACCCCTAACTGGAGTTTAATATCACTACTTTCCAATTCCGAGTGAAATCTAGTAATCTTGTCACAAAGCCACCTGGCTACTTTAATATAATCAACCATAAAATTATTTAATTCATGTAAGGACCTCTTAAAAATTAAAGGTAACACATTTAGCCATCTATTTAAACAAATTGCTTGGTCATACTGCGTGGACAGTGGTGCACAAGCACAAACAACAATACATTCATCACTATAACACCGCCTTAAAAGTAAACAAATACGCACAGCCCAAACTTCTTCATTTGCGGATTTTTCTTTTCGCGAAATTCAATTATTCGCGATTTTAGATTTGAATACCAATTTAACCATCACACCTTTTACCCTTCAACAATTCTCGATTCATGGGGGAGGGGAACTGTACTTTCGTAGCATGGCAGTGGTTTGTGGGCAACGTGAGGATTTTTCTCTTCAAGTGCCGATGCCTTTCGTGCTACATTTGCCTTATTTGTCGTTTTTTTTTGTTGATCAAGGCATTGAAGCGTCAAGTGAGGGGAGAAAGTAAGAGTGAGAGCAAAAAAGGCAGAAAAAAGTGACAAGTTTAGATCAAAGTGTAGTTTTTGGGCGGACTTGCGCTCAGGGTGATTGGTGCGTCGTCTGCTGTTGGCCGCCATTACCTGGTACACGAGTCAACAGTCGGATGAAGACAAATAAATAGGCAATTGGGGAAAGTGTGGCAGAAGTAGTTATCAGCATCAGACCACCATCGTCATCCAAGGTAAATAAAACTTCCAAATTGACAGTATCATTTATTTATGTTATTATTTGTCTTATTATCTATTGTATTATTGTACAATTTAATTAAGTATACAGATATTATTTATGTGTACAGTACAGAATTAATGTTATGAAACGTTTTAATTTTCTCCTGTATGTCCAGTCGACACTGGAACCTAACCTACTTTTTACCAAATAATCACCGTATCTACATTCGCAAATTCTACTTTTGCGCCGATTTTCGAGAACCTAACCCTCGCGGATGTCGAGGCCTCCAGGCAGTTCATCTATTGAAACAAGTAGTTTAATGTAGCATGCAGATATTGGTTTTACATTGCCTGAGTGAGCAGAATAGGTGGTGTGGCACAGAACCAAGCGTGTCGTGCTCACCTGCTTAAGTGGGTGGATAAGGGCGGCAACATGGCTGCAGCTCACAAACTGTCCCAGTAGCTCATAGGTGTCGTAGCTCTTGCAGCTACGAGCCTCCATGCTCTTCCGCACGATGCCCTGCACCTCCTTCTCCTCAGCAACTTCGCCAAACAGCTCGTCGTTACACACCTGTCAGGATGGAGTAACCATGTACGGACATGGACAGACACGCATACACATCCACCAATGTACAACAAGAAGTCAGAGTGATCTCTTGCTCAAATGAGCACTAAAGCGGTGCTCAATTGCTGTTTACACCCTTTAAGCCAGAAATCAGAATTCCTCATTCCTTTGGCAGGAGTGTGTCTATGAATAGGATAACCACTGTTGATTTTACCACAAAGTGGCGGTCATTTAATTTATCCAGGAGGGATGATGGGCTGAGGCAATCCCCAACCATAATTTAAAACTCGCAAGCTTCCAATTGTGGGTCGCTCACTACAATGGAGCGCCACGTTGCTGGATAAATGTACCCTCACAAACAATTGATCACACACGTGAAAAAAACTAAACAAACGCCCATTCAACATCACTTCATGTGAGAAGCCAGAGCAGCCATGCCTGGCCACGACTGTTGCTTCAGTGTAATTTATAACATATTTCTGTAAGTGCTGCAAATACAGGCCAACTGATGTTATTGATCAATAAAAAATGCGGGAAACTGACCAGAGTGACGTGGTGATGATGATTATGACGAGTGATAATGATGACGCCATCAATCCCTGCCAACATCCACCTCATTCGGATTATGGAGGTGTTAAAATGTTATTGTTGCACTTGCAACGGATGCAATTATCTGGCTCCCCAATATAACATTGTAGTTGTTGCTCAATAAACATCAGCCAATATGGAGAAACAAGAGTTACATTAATTACATATTTAAGGTTCCTATAACAGTTACCCGTGTAGTGTTAGAATTGCACTATAAGTGTTAGTTTTATTGTGTTTGAAAGTGCAAGACTATTATTACAGTTGTGGTTCTTACGAAAAGCCAGAGTGGATTTGTGAAAATCACTGATTAATGCAGCAGTAACCTGTTTGCTCCTACAGTGAACTATAAACGTGTGTTCATTCCTGCTCAATCTCATTTTGTGGCCCTAAAGACCAAGATCCACTTGGGCAATCGTTGTTGGCAATTATCCCTGGCAATGCCTTAACCGTCAGCCACTATGACAACTTGGGTGGTTAATGGAATAGTGACAGAATTCTCTCATAACAATCAAAGCAAGCCTTGATGAAACATGTGTAAGCTGAACAATAATTGGCCAACACTAGAGGCCGACCGAAATTCGGTTTCGGTGCCACTTTCGGCATACTTTTGGTTTTTGGCAATGAGATGAGTAAGGTTAGAAATGCTGCGGCAACCATTGGCGGTGACGATTTCCGGCAACGATTGCCTGAAATTTCCCTGACTGGATCATGGCCTTAAAAGGGAGTGGTGGAAATTTCACATTGCCTCCACATGAGACAACCACTGTTGTGGGCCGAGCTGACCTTGGCTTGGATTTCAACTCGCAAACAATCCTAAACACCATCCCGAACCAGCCAGATGCTTTTCAATATAAACTTGTCTCAAGATCAACAAAACAAAACGGACGACTTTGTTAGACCGGGTCAAACGTTTACAGAGTCCTTGCCACAGAGTTACACGTCACTTCTCGTCAGTACTTCAGTCACCGGAGACAAAGTGTTGGCTGTAGAGGGAACTGCGCACGTTACCTGAACGAAGATGTTCACGCAAGGATCCAGCTGTCCCGGCTGCATGTTGGCCGTCAGGCTCTTCAGGAGATAGTGTGCCGTGAACGACATTACGTGCAGCTGCAACAAAGAAACGCAGAGGCCGTTTGTGAGCAGCACAGATTGTTGAGAGGAGTGCTGGTGGTTAATGCCTATTGCACAAAAGCAGCAGCACCATGTCTCCCTATTCTGATTAAACAGAAGTTCAACATACATACATAAACTACATATCAGTGGTTGGTAACCTGTGGGGTGCACTAACCCAACCTTTTATGAGGGGCGCAGACCGTGAATGAGAGGAACGTCAGTGCTACGTTGTGGTGAAAAGACACACTAATACGCAACAGGACACACCGCATCGAGGGATTAACATGTAATCTCTGTATTGGGACCGGAGTAACGTTAGTTGTGTGAATGGGGTAGGTGGTGGTGGGGGGCAGTGGTCTTGATTGGGGAGCCACAACACCAACAAGGTTGATAACCATTTTCATGTACATTTTAGCCTGAATTAACAAAAGGTCCAGATAATAATTACTCCCAGTGAATGGTCATAAATTACAGATGGCATGGAGAACCTCCCAGTGTACACATGGATTCCTCCTCCAAGCACGTGCACGCACAAGCAAATACAAGTACAATGGCATGAAAACATCACTTGCAAACCATGCAAACTGAATAACAAGTAATACATTTTAATGTGCACTTACAGCAAAAGCCACTTAAAGCGTGCTCCCAGCACTTTTGAATTTCAGCTTTCTAAAAGTACTCCAACTTGCTCTTATCCAGTCATGGTTTTGATTGAGTATTCATCAATACTCTAATGGAGCAAGTGTGAGTTGTTTTTACTCTGTCTGTCCAAAATTTTTGATCACGTAACATTTGTGAAACATTATTATTCAAGCAAGTTTTTTTTTAAACGTCAGTTCAAATGTTGATTTAAAATTTGGGAAACATTACATCCGGTTTTGGAGACCGGACTTAATGTGACACACATATTTACGACACATATACAGTATAAGACCACCATTGATCGATTGACTACAACAAACTTAATTTATGACCCATCATCCAACATGACTACACATTTGAACTGTGATGTTTCACCATGAGATTTTTTTAAGTTAAAGGTCACCCTTTCTCCCCTTACTTTTGTTCCTCTTCCCTTGCCTTCCCCTTTCCCCTAAAAAGAAGTCCATGCTCCCGCTCACAGTCTCTCCCGCTGGCGGAGTGGTGAGCCCATTTCTCTCCCCCAACCCATATAAAAGTACTTTAGCTTAGCCTTTACAGGTTACAATTGAAGCCCAAAGGCCCCCCAAGCCCTCCGTAGACCTAGGAGATGAGGGCCCATAGGGCCCGAAATGTTCAAATTTACCTAACTAGAGCCTGTTTGGATGCACGTCATGTACAGCATCCAGCCTGTGATGCGACGGGGTGTAATTTTATTCATATGCAGAATGTGTAACATGATGCTCGCAGGGTACTGTGTTTAACAAAGGATGTGCTATGGAAGGCCTTCATGTCTGCTACTGCTCTACCGGCCAGAAATGCCCAGGGAGTAAGTGTGATGGATGACCTGCGTTGCATCTGGCCCCCTTAAAGCGAATTATCTGGATGCGCGGTGCTACAAAAAGTATCTGGAAATGGAGTTCAACTGACTAGTGGAGTTGATTCATAAACTGGTGAGGCTGTAAAATGTAATAAAAATATAATCAGCACGTTATCATAAGTCACTGCCTCACTCTCCACTTTTCAATCTGGCCAACACTGTAGGTGGCCGGTAAAGCTGTATCGGATGGGCTATACATGCACGGTGTGCAACGTGCACTGAAAGCCAAGCAAGAGGTGGGCTACAGTCTGTGGGATGTAGTGCGGTGGAGTAGAGCATTATGGGTTGTGGAGAAATTAAGGTAACCTGGAATCCCCTTGTGAGCGTGGACTTCAACTCCTGCAGAACATAGGCAGATGGGAAGGGCCCAAGGCATCCGCGATCTTGATGAGGACCCCACGAGCCACATCTCGCACCTCCTGCAGCCGGTTCCTCAGCATGAAGCAAACCTTGAGCACCACGCTGTGACCACCGCACACCAAAACAACCACACAGTCTCACCCACATTCTCATGGTTCAACAAGTACAAACTTAAACAAGTTTCTCCTGGCCAAGAATTCCTTTATCTGCAAAATCAGTGTATGCAGACATGCCTCAACCTGGGTTTCAAGGCACCTTTGAGCAATGGCCCTATAAGAGTCCTGGAAGTAGAGAACAAGCAACAGCCTGCGTTTTTATTGGCAAAGGGCAAACGTTATTTATATTATGGCTCAGATGGCAGACAGCAGCAGCAGCAGCGCTTTGGGATTAATTTGAATGCTTTCCAAATGAATTAAGAGTGACTCTTTTTGTTCTAAAATTACACTTTCCCTTCACCTGTTCTTTACTTCAGAAATGTACAGGGCAGCCCCGTTTTGAGGCGGTAACATTTCATTTGTAATGCCGCATTCTCGTGCGTTCACACGAAATGGCATTGCAACCAACAAGACACCGCCTCAAAACGTGCCCAAACTTCCCTCACGGTCTCCGTGCGAGTGTCCCCCCCCCCTCCCCCCCCACCGTCGTTCTTAGCAGAGTGGCCAAAATGCAAGATGCAGTAACTACACGCACGACTGCAAATATGTGGGCGTAAAAAGAGGTGAGTGCGCAAGAGATTGCAAAGGGTTGTTAACGAACAGTGGACATATTAACAATATTCAAGGAGGCTTTTCTGGCCATAGGGTAAACAATAAACATCTCTCCAGGAGTCGTTTTGTCAATTATTTAGGCACACGTATTTTTCTGAGACTAATTGGATACTATTCATCAAAGGATCAAATGTATGAACAATCCAAAAGTTGTGTCTAACTAACAGCACTGCCAGCATAACAGAACTACAGAGAAAAACTCCACCTGGTAGCGCCTTGCACAAGAGTAATGTCTGTAATTTATATGAATTAGGATCAAAAGATTCATCAAGCTTCTCACATGCAGTCATTACGTGAACCATATTGCAAAAAAATGTTGCACTAAATATTTATTAGGGAAATTAAATATTTACTTTAAATCCTCATAATTTGGATACAATTCCAACCGACACAGCTGTCATTGGCACCTGATATCTGGTGGCAAAATGCTACGAGAAGTGATGCTGTAATTTTAAAACGGTCTAGTTGATAGATAATTTGATACAAAATAAAGCACACACGATAATTTACGACCCATTCTCAATCCACTGTTGAAGGGCTCCCGCACACCATGTTGGTCAGGGAGTTGTTTGACCATACTTCACCACAATGGTCACTGCCAGTTTGTGAAGGGAAGCCCAAGACTGATTTAAATATAACTCTCCCCTGATGTTAGCTTGTGGCCATGAATGAAACTAGGATCACTGTTTATAGTGCAGTGCGCTAACCACTGTGCCACAACTTCATCCTGTACAGAGCCCTGTATTTATATATACAGAGAAAACATACATTCTGCATAGTTGAGAGAAATAGGAAACCCATGACATTAAAAGCCTCCCACAGCCCTGCAATTCCATGGAATTGGGAAAATAATATTCTAAAAGTGTCTCCCTTATAATTTTATAAATGCGGGCTACCATTTACACACATGTTATACATTGCATAGTAAGCCAGGTTAGGCTCCCCCACCTGGGCAAGTTTGCCTCCAAAACTTTGCTTGGCAAGGCTTGCAGCAGCTTAACCACGGCGAGCGCGAGCGGGATGCGAGCCACCTGCTCCTCGTCCACCCCTCGCGTGCGCACTGCCTTGTGGTCCATTTCTGCCTTGCTCTACACAGCGGGGACACAGTGGGAAACACAGCGGGAGACACCACTCGATAAAACACGGCCCAACGCCACTCACACAATGAGAGACCCACAGCAGTGGGAATCGGTACGCGGATTATTGCAGAACGTGGTTCACATCCCGCCTGGTGTACAAATGCATGTTTATGAGATATACTGCACAGACCTTACACAGCACAAAGTGAAAATTATACAAAATAAGTCTTTTAGCATACAGCATCAACCACACGGCTACATGATATTCCATATCACATAAAACGAGAAGATAATCAGTATACCATACAATACGTAACCAATATAACACTACAGTTGGTATGGAGGCAAACTTGGCCTTCAAATGGGATAATTTAACAAATGCATTACTTACATTCTTGGTGTAATCTTTCCACAAATATATTATCACGGCATCTTTTTTTGAACAATGACAAGACCACGTAACAGAATGCATTTTGAACTATGAGCATAAATACAACTTAACACTTAAAATACTAAAATATTAAAAATAATTTCTATAAACAACAACAACAATAAATGTGGCATAAATACTGTATTGGACATTGGCCACGTGCCCTCATACATCATTGCCGTTCCTGTGCTGTACAGCGTCCGGCTACAAGGACAGATCCAGTGTGGTGGCCACCTTGACTCACTCTGGTGGCGAGGCAGGCGAGCAGCTTGGGCAACACGTTGGCGGTGATGGTCTGCTGCACCTGCTCTTGAAGCTGCTGCCCGTTCAGGCAGTGCGAGGGGACAGCAGGGACAGCAGGGGCAGCAGGGGCAGCAGCATCATCAGCCACCTCACCACCTAGGCCCAGGGCCTGGGTGCTGCCTTCCTCCATGGGCTCAGCAGCCTCGCCTTCTCCACATGCAGCCTCCTCACCGAGCAGCATCGCATCATCTCCGTCCTCTCCATCCATCGCTGCCTCCACAGCGGCCGCTGCGAGATGACAACACGGATTGGCTCTCGGCTCAACAAAAAATATTACACGCGCAAGCTGATGTGTAAAACGCCGCTACTTCTATGAAGAAGAATGGAATTTACAATGTTGGTACACATGTCGTTGTTTGCTCTATACAGTGAGGGAAAAAAGTATTTGATCCCCTGCTGATTTTGTACGTTTGCCCAATGACAAAGAAATGATCAGTCTATAATTTTAATGGTAGGTTTATTTGAAAAGTGAGAGACAGAATAACAACAACAAAATCCAGAAAAACGCATGTCAAAAATGTTATAAATTGATTTGCATTTTAATGAGGGAAATAAGTATTTGACCCCTCTGCAAAACATGACTTAGTATTTGGTGGCAAAAACCTTGTTGGCAATCACAGAGGTCAGACGTTTCTTGTAGTTGGCCACCAGGTTTGCACACATCTCAGGAGGGATTTTGTCCCACTCCTCTTTGCAGATCTTCTCCAAGTCATTAAGGTTTCGAGGCCGACGTTTGGCAACTCGAACCTTCAGCTCCCTCCACAGATTTTCTATGGGATTAAGATCTGGAGACTGGCTAGGCCACTCCAGGACCTTAATGTGCTTTTTCTTGAGCCTCTCCTTTGTTGCCTTGGCCGTGTGTTTTGGGTCATTGTCATGCTGGAATACCCATCCACGACCCATTTTCAATGCCCTGGCTGAGGGAAGGAGGTTCTCACCCAAGATTTGACGGTACATGGCCCCGTCCATCGTCCCTTTGATGCGGTGAAGTTGTCCTGTCCCCTTAGCAGAAAAACACCCCCAAAGCATAATGTTTCCACCTCCATGTTTGACGGTGGGGATGGTGTTCTTGGGGTCATAGGCAGCATTCCTCCTCCTCCAAACACGGCGAGTTGAGTTGATGCCAAAGAGCTCCATTTTGGTCTCATCTGACCACAACACTTTCACCCAGTTGTCCTCTGAATCATTCAGATGTTAATTGGCAAACTTCAGACGCGCATGTATATGTGCTTTCTTGAGCAGGGGGACCTTGCGGGCGCTGCAGGATTTCAGTCCTTCACGGCGTAGTGTGTTACCAACTGTTTTCTTGGTGACTATGGTCCCAGCTGCCTTGAGATCATTGACAAGATCCTCCCGTGTAGTTCTGGGCTGATTCCTCACCGTTCTCATGATCAATGCAACTCCACGAGGTGAGATCTTGCATGGAGCCCCAGGCCGAGGGAGATTGGCAGTTCTTTTGTGTTTCTTCCATTTGCGAATAATCGCACCAACTGTTGTCACCTTCTCACCAAGCTGCTTGGCGGTGGTCTTGTAGACCATTCCAGCCTTGTCTAGGTCTACAATCTTGTCCCTGACATCCTTGGAGAGCTTTTTGGTCTTGGCCATGGTGGAGAGTTTGAAATCTGATTGATTGATTCCTTCTGTGAACAGGTGTCTTTTATACAGGTAACAAGTTGAGATTAGGAGCACTCCCTTTAAGAGTGTGCTCCTAATCTCAGCTCGTTACCTGTATAAAAGACACCTGGGAGCCAGAAATCTTTCTCATTGAGAGGGGGTCAAATACTTATTTCCCTCATTAAAATGCAAATCAATTTATAAAAAATTTTAACATGCGTTTTTCTGGATTTTGTTGTTGTTATTCTGTCTCTCACTGTTCAAATAAACCTACCATTTCTTTGTCAGTGGGTAAACGTACAAAATCAGTAGGTGATCAAATACTTTGCCAAGAAGATGTACCATCTCAAAAGATTTTGCACGTGAAATATTTTAATAAAAAATATAAAAATAAGTATGACTTCCATAGATATACAGAAGTGGCCACGTACAAATCGGTTAGCACATGTGGCTATTTACGGTTCCAAATAAGTTCAGCATGGACATACATCGTTTTTATGTTCGTGTTCAAACACTATGATCGAGAGAGCCAGAGACACGAGCGCAGCAAATGATGCGATAGCAACACCTGTTGGACAAAGTCTCTGTTCCCGTTTGTGCTGCTTACAGAACCTTACCCGGAGATTCCCGAATGCTCTGCTCTGCCTCTCTCTGCAAGGTCTCAAGGTCAAAGTGGAAAGCGTCCAACACAGTTATCAGCAAGCTGCACACACAGAGAGAGAAAAATGCACACGTATGATGCATACAATCTTTGTTGGATAGAAATAAATTAAAACTAACCCATTTTATCATCTCCTAGGCACCAATAAAAATACACCAGTAACGTGGAGGGCGTGAGGGAAGGGGGATTTGTGGGGAGCGTGTTTCCCATCCGTGAGTGTAGACAATGGCAGAGAAACACCTCTCTGCAGTGGTCTTCCAGTTCACCCACATCATGAAGGGCCCTTCCTAAAATGTGAGCCCTCTATATACTTCTCTGTTTAAAGGCGGTGATTATAATAATGGCCAACGGTGCCTTAAATTTTTATTCTCACCAATTACACAGCCGACCTCATGTGTCCCCAGCAAGTGCAATGAAATTCCCCACCACACAGCACTGTGTTATCGTGTGCAGCTCTATACACGCTACCTGATCGCCAGTTTAAGTTCCAACTGTGTAGTCTGCAGCAGGTGAATGTAGTGCCGCAGAGTGTAGAGGTAGGGCTTCCAGGGCAGGTGCCGGCAGATGGCCCCCAGTGCGTCCACACAGGCCTCCACCACATTCTCTTGCTAAGAAACAAAAACAATGCAACTCAGTCTGCGCGCACCACCTTCAGCATGGCAGAGCTCCGAATAAAAACAGCTACTCGAATACAAAAACATAACTGTCATGTGCGTTGGTCAACATATTGTGTTCAACGTGTCAAACAAATTACACCTTCAACAACAAAAATGTGATGTGGCGCGCGATAATTTGTCCCCGGCGTTCTCATTGGCTGGAGGTCACGCACCGCCCACCACGCTCCCCAATTGGCTCCCTCTCCCTTACTACATGTCTGGCTCTTGACATCAGGAGGGAGGGGTCGAACATGCGGTGAGGAGGGCTGCTCGGGTACCCAACTCACGGGCATAGGCGCACGGGGTGAGGGGGTGCATGGGGCCGTACGTGGGGAGAGGGCTGTGCTAAGGGAGGGGGCGCAGGTGTGTGGGGGCTAGCTGGGAGGGGCTGCAGGAGGGGGGCGGGGGTGACTGGGGGTCGTCACGTAGGAGGGGGGCACCCAGGGGTGGGGAAATGGGGACAGGAGGCATCGCTCAGCAACGGCTACTTCCTCGCGTAGAAACGTAAGTAATTTGTAGATAAAGTTAAAGTCATTCATATGGGCGATCCATGCCAGGTATACCGTTAACTTCTGGAAAGGACAAGACCCTTTGTCATTATGCATTTTCATAGTGCAGTCAAAATATGTATGTTCTTCAGATCATTGTGCATTCTTGGCTTTGGGTTCGACAAGGTCTCCATTTACAGGTAGTTTTCTTTAACCAAAAAAATGTCCTTGGGAGAAAGCATAACGATCACCATTCTGGCAAATTCAAAGCTACATCACAATATCTAGGGTCAAGAATCAATAATTATTTTTACATTGTGGCGAATGGAAAATTACAACATGCTCTGCGACTTTGTTCCTGCGCGCAGTTACCTTGGAAAACTTCGGGTTGGCGAGTGGCGTGGTGGCAAAGGGCATTATGAAGCTCTGCAACGCAGTGGCACAGATGCGGAGCGAGCCGTCCTGCAGCTGCCTCGCTACGCGCTTCAGTGCACGCGCCCGCCGGTACACCTGCATGGGAGGTGGTGGCCACAGTGCGACACAGACGCATCGTTGAGCAAGCATACATTTCAACACGTTCAAGCTTAAGAAGAGCACCCCACTACAATTACATGATCTAGAGCAGTGGTTCTTAACCTGAGGTGCACGCACCCCCTCGGGGTGCGAGATGCCCTTCCTTGGGGGTCTGAGAGATGCCAGATTATTTTCAGGAGGTAATTAATCGAAAACACAAATTAAGCACGGGCACGTAAGTACAACTAATTTCTTTCATCAAACTATTGAGAACCAAAGGGGTGCAAGGCTGAAGTAAAGGATAAAAACCACTGGCCTCGAGGAAGTGAGTTCCCACATTTTCTGACCACAGGTCGCTGTCAACCCTCAAAAAATGTTTGCGTACCACCGTGCGTAGTAAATCACATGGTGCTTTGTGGAATTTTCTATTCATCTGCAATGGGTCCAGGGACCACTTTACATGGCTGTGCAGAGCACCAGTGGTTCACAAACCACAAGTTGGGAACCCACCAGTCTAGAGTTTGCATTTGAGTGGCAGCTTCCATGACCATTAACCAATTTAATGCGCATAAGGAAAAGACACAATTAATACAAATGATGCCAATAGGAGTGCCTGCTTGTAGTGGGCATTGCAATGACACAAAAATTCTGGAGAAAGCAACAGCAGTCAAAAAAAGTCAACAGCATTCTGTATGAATGAAGCTTATTACCACTTAGCTACGTATAATGATATACATAAAGAGCCATGGTGAACAAAGTTAATGGCATGAAACAGCACGGACGAACGGTGCTCCCTGACCTGGATGTGCCGCATGTTCTCAAAGAAGTCCGACTCAGGGTCCGGATCAGTGAGCGTCACAAGGTCTTGGAACTCGACACGGTGTGGGAACGTGTGCACCAGACAGCGTAGCAGGCCCACGTACTCGTGCAGCACATTCTGCGAGTTTCAGGTACGCACAGGCGGCAACAATCACATGCACACACCAGCAACAAAGACAAAGATTCCCCGTATAGCTTTAACTAACTGTTGGAGCAAGTGATGTTAGTGTAGCACCTATGAAGGCTGGCACGGCACACGCCTTTGTCTCCTGAGAGGCAATATTTACTCATCGCACCATGTACTCATTTGAGGCTTATTCGACCTAGGGGAGGCCCAGCACCAATTCAGATAACCATCACTGGTGTTGGCCACGAGTGGGAATCAAACTCGGTCATCGGGTTCGTGGCGCAGCGCGCTAACCATTGTACTACCGCTCCCCACACATCACACACTCACACACCAGCAATCAACATCACCCACCATTCGCCATTAAGTGACGGTGACATCACCCACGGCACCGAAGCCAGGCCAGGTGCACTTTGAAGTGTAGAAGGCTCGCCGACAGGTCACGGGACAGACACAGGTGCCATGGGTTGATGACTGAGATGACTGGCAGATAAACCACCTGTGCTCCCCACTGAAAACTATTTAGCTACCTGTTGTGCCGCTCGTTGTTGTGAGCGTCGCTCCTCTGCCCTCTGTTGTTGTTGGAGGGCGACTGACCAGTTGCGTCCTTCACAAGCCTTCTCCACAGAGGCTGATCTTGACACCGCTGGAACTCGTCATCGGCAAGTCCAATCAGCTCCATATCGTTTCGTACCATATCAATCCATCTCTTCTCTAACCCGTGCTGTGCCCGTTTATCCCCCTCTATCCAGAGAAACAAAGCTGCTTGGGCATGAGGTGGCTGGGCATGCGGGCTACATGCCCCAGCCAACACAATCTCGCCTGCCAGAAGAGCTTGCTGATGGTACTGTGTTCAGATCGTTTAAGGTTCTGTGAGCTCCTTACACAGTCCAGTATGGTTAACCCAGGATGGGTCGTAGGCGGCCAGCATGAATGTTTAAAACTGGAGATGTTCTCTTGAAGGGCTCCACGTTTCGAAAGCACAGAGAAGGGAGGGCATAACTGTGGCCATAAAAACCCAGAGCTTCATATGGTAGCGTCCACACAGAATTATGCAGCTTATGAAAAGAGAATGCCTCTCAACTGGTTCAGTGAGACCTCTGCTGCCAAACCAGAGCTGGTCAAAAGGACACTGCACAACTGCCCCATCACTCTTGAGTGGAGGAGATTGAGTATTTAATGACATAAAATACCCGTGGAAGATGCTTTGTTTTTTGTGAGATTAATTGTATAGCGCCATCCTGAAATAGCACACTCCAGGTTCATCAGTAGCATCTCCAACACCTTCGCAAAGCTTGATTGAACAATAAGGAGCAATGTCTTGACAGCCCCTCGGCATCGATCAGCCTCCCACTGGATCTGTTCCAGATGGAAATTCCTCTGGTACAGCCATGGAAAGCTTCTCAGACTACACGGTCAAATATGTTAAAAACAGCAAATGTTAATGGACATTCCTGTCGCGCTTCAAGGTGAAAAGGGAATGGTTCTGACTCCCGCCACACGGCTTTACCAGAGCCTGCCCACTATTGTGAAGGTCCCACATGATTGTGAGTAGAGGGTTAGCAGAGGGATCAATAAAGCAGATATTTAGGTGCTGTTGAAATTCTGTAAACTTCTGCCGGAGCAGACTGATAGAAAATATGGTGTCCTTCAGGACTGCCCCAGTTTGAAACCACATTGGGACTCCGCAAGCCTCTCTTCACCAGCAATCAAACATGTACACACGGGTTTACTCTCAAACACACCCGTGTGCTGAACTAGTAACTAATTGGCACGTTTTGTTTACGTGACAAACCTTACTAACTGGCTGCATCGGGTGTTGGTGGGTTTAACGACACATTTATATTTATGTGACTTAACCCAAAAAAAACACTTGTGGATATAGAAAAATCTCTGAGCGAATCTTATTAAAATGATCTACCCCTCTTCCTGTATATTTAGGCATAAACGATTATGACAAATATAAGAAAAATAATGAAAAACAACGGCTGCCACTGTGGAAAGGCGTGGAGGTGTGGAGGCGGCTGCTACTGCTAGAGTCGAACCTGCGTCTGGGACTTGAGGCCGCGCCGCACAGCCACGAGCAGCGTGCGGGTGATGACCTCTCGGAATTCCTCCTCCGTATGCGAGATGATCGCCAAGCGCTGCACCACCGTCGCGAGGCACAAGCTGGCATTGTCGGAGAGGGCCATTTCAGTCAGCTGGGGAAAGAGATGCAGGTGGGGGGGTGGTACACAAGAGGGAAATTTAAGTGGGGTGCAAGGGACCGCATAACCATGGAGCAGGTGTTAACAAAAAGGGTCACATTGCTTCTCTTTCAGCTATATAAAAAAAAAAGATAAACTATTTTAATTTTACTAGGTAAGGCCCACTGAGCTACATAGCTCTTTTTCAGAAGCGACCAAGCCATCGCAAACGATAGCTCAAGAAAGTGGCTTATCACAAGTAAATTACTCTAAATGCACGTTTATAAATGTGGAGGGAAAAACCGCAGGACCCAGAGAAAAATCCACGCGAACATATGAGAAAACGCAAACTCAATATATATAAAGCTGTCGGGGTCAGGATCAAACACACAACCTCCTGTATACCAGGCGAGGTAGTTAACATCTCTTGACAGTGTCACCCGAACGCCATAAACATTTAAAATCAACAGCCTCCGTAGCACGGAACCACATGACAGTAGCACACACACACACGTTGGCTCATTGGCTACCTTGTGTAACAACAGCAGGTGGTGCTCAGTTACCATTCACTCCATTATCTGCTGAATATTCTCAGCACCACAGCCCCTCCCCTCTTTAATCTTCATGGGACACAATTCCTCAGTTACAAAGACTTCAGGTTAAAACCTAGACAATTTACAGCTCTTTGTCAACCCACTGCTGGACGACAGCTTCCCCACACAAACAACATCACCATCCCCACGCGCCTTGCTCTGATGGCGCAATGCAAGTCGCTCGTGCATACGAGCCGAGCGTTCACACTCGACGCACCTGTATGGAGTAGAAGCAGTTGTGCAGGAGTGGCAGCAGATAGCCGCTGTCCACCTTCTCCATGCCAGCCACGTACTTTGTGGCCGCCTGGAATGCCTCGAGGCGGATGTCAAAATTGATATCGTCGAGATGCCTGCGATCAAAGGCATTCATCTGCAGCACGCACACAAATGCACACACGTGCACACACATGTAACAGAGGCAAACAGCAGAGTTCAAACACAAAAAGCGAATCAAACACATTCTTTGGCTCTTTCAGTAAAGTCACGTAGATAGGTACAAAGAAAATAATCAAGTATCAAACACACTGAACAGCATTAATTACCTACCGCATAGGCACAATTTGAGTCAAAATAATAAATTGCACTGTTAATGAATATAATTTATGTACAAGTATATATGTTATCTAAGGTACTGTATGATACTTAATCATCTGTAAAATGGATACAGGGAAAAAATACTTTGGCGAGTAACAATCCTTCAACACAAAAGGTGATTTTTTTTGGGTTAAGATCACGTAAGTATAAATGTGTCATTAACCTCCACCACCCGACACAGCCAATTAGTAAGATTTGTCACGTAAAAAAAATGTGCCAATGAGTTACTAGTTCACCACACCGGTGTGTTGGAGGAATTCTGGCAAAATCACCTGATGAAGCTGGTTGTAATTACCAGCGAAACTCATCATCAACCGATTGGAAATCTTCACACATCCATCCAAACTATAACCAGCCCGGTGGCGCCATGGTCAGAGTTCACAGCTTGTGTGACCAAGTTAAAAAAACAATTGAGTCCATGTGGTTCCTCATCCCTCTAGGGCTCGATAAAATAAGTCAGAATCAGAATATTTATTTAAACTGTGGGAGTCCAAAGTTGCTGTCCAATGGATTGATTCATCTTTGACATTGTAATTTGGAATTTTCACTCTCGAACCAGGCTACAGATAGGAAATGTGTGCCTCCAAACACTTGTTGATGAATAAAACCACATTGACAGTCCAAAGCGCAAAGTCATGGGGCTAGTGCATTTTATTTTCACAGAAAAGGATAGGGAATGCAAGACAATGCTTACTGTGTAATATCGTACATGACTACATACACCAAAAAGATAAGTAAATTGATACTGAAACAACAGTCACATCAAAGTTGTTCCGAGAGGGGAAAAAAATCCCACGTGCCAGACTTGCATACTCAAAATATAAACATAGTTAAACATTATTTTTTTTCAATATCCAGAACATATATATTTGACTCACCTATTCATATTTTACAGATTATAGCAGAGTTGACATGCCGGCTATGCCACCACCCATACCTAACAGAGTTCTATTCGTTTCTTTTTATGTTGATTTATTTATTTCTGCTGACCAGGAAGTACCCCATAGACAGTTAAAAAAATATGCTCTGAGCTCAACAGAAACATTTACCGTATCAGCCATATGTCTGATGCTAAGAATGTCATGAGAAAGTAAGCAGTTTTCTGTGTTATTTATTGGCCTCTTTTGTCATTACCAAGATACTGAATGACATGAATGCCATAAATACAGGTGTCAAGACGTCCAAACGACAACTATTACAAGGCATCGAGTCAGTATTAACGACACAGTTGAGGTAAAACATGCCAACAGGGAGCCTGAGAGGCTGTCTCTGGTATAGGCCAATCAGTTCCAAGCAGAGTTCGTACAGGATAAATGCATGTGTTTGCACGTTTTACCACATGTATATCTTGTTTGTGCAGCTGTAATACCTTGTAACAGGTGTCGAGTTGGTGATTGAACATCTTAACACCTGTATTTATGCCAGAAAAGGTAAATCCTTTTTCTAACATTTTTTCTTGTTCCTTAAGCCACTGTTTGTCTTTGGTAGCAGTCACTCTTCACATACCTGTACAATGACTATGCACAAAGGCAGTCCTCGACATACGAAGATCTGCACTTACGAACCAGCTTCTATGAGATATATTTATTTTTTATCGACTTGCAAACGCGAACTCGCACTTGCAAATGGAACCGCGGAACGATTTTGTTCAGCGAAGCGATTCTCTGCGAGAAAGTAATGAATCACAGTAGCCCGCTGGGAGTGAGTTTGTGAGTGTGAAAGTGAGTATGCGAGCGTTACCTGGTGTGGTGTATAAACATCACCAGCGGTTAGCGCACTGCGTTACAAACCCGACGACTCGAGTTCGATTCCCGCTCACGGCTTACACCAGTGACGATTATTTGAACCGGCCTTGGGCCTCCCCCAAGTCGACTCAGCCTCAAATGAGTACCTGGTGCAGTATGTAAAGATATCGACACTGGGGAGCCAAAAGCGGTCGGGCGTGGTGTTTGCCACCCACCCCCTCGTGTATCGTGCCGGCCTTCATAGTTGCTCGCTAACAGCACTTGCCTCAACAGTATGTTAAGGCTATAAGGGGGATCTTTGTCTATGTACACTGACAACACATACCTGTACAATCACATCTGTGATGTATGTGACTGTATTGTCCAGTTCCCAAGGGTCTGTGAAAAACAACACATTTGCAAAAAACGCAATCAATTAATACAACCAAATAATCACAACATACAAGTTATTCAGATTTGATGTCTTTACAAGAATGTAGGCCCTTCTCACAAATCAGGAGGCATAACTCAAGCAACACATTTAAAAGTGAGCAGAGTAAATGGAATAATATTTCCTACTTCCCATATCTGTCTCTCCAGTACGGAGCAATAGTTAGCAAGTCCATGGACTTGCTAATGATGATTGATGAGACAAACGTTGACAGGGTCACGTGAGGGGGAGCACGGGATCCAATGGCGGCGAAGTATAATAAGGGCGGAGATTGACAGAGCACGTGCGGCGAGTAGAATTCGAGAATAGGGGCGTGGCCGGACCGGGAGAGGCATAAGAGCCGTCGCGAGCCGGACCTGGGGGGCTGTTGGTGTGGGAAACGCCGTCGTCGTCGCCTTGGAACGGGTCGTTTCCGTCGTCTTCGAGATGTCTTGAGACTACAAGCTATGTTGTCCCAGAATAGTTTCGTCTCATTAAGTGTATATAGTCACTCGTGGTTACTCGTTGAGTTGTCAGTGGACTTTATTCCAATAAATATACGGAAAGACAAGACGGTGTCAATGAGAGCTACATTACAGCAGTATTGGTTTAATGCAAGCAAACTCTGGATCGCTTTTGACATTGAGTGTCTTGTCAGCAGAGGCAGGCTTGCTTGAACCAAAGCTGGTAAAACGGAAGATGTTTATGAAAAGGCAAGGACTCTCTCCAAAAGATATGGGTCCCAGTTTGACGCAAAACTATCCAAAACATAACACAATACCATCACAAAGCGTCGTTTGTGAATGCAATGAGATTACCTGGAAGACGGCAGAGAGGGCCTGTCGAGAGAGCTTGTTTTGGAGGCATGACAGGAGACATGCCAGAGGCTTGAGGTAACTCCCAGGAACAGAAACGCGTTTCAATAGGTTCATGATTGTCTCCAGGATGTCCACCTCCATGTCCTGCATTCACATGCACACAGCCAGCAATGTCAGCTTAGTAGTAATCCTAGTCAAGTCACAGTATAACAGCATAGGATGCGAACAGTCTTGGATAATTTCATATTGACTTGTGCGTCTAGAAACCTGTCCAAGGTTGGCTTTGGAGAGGTAGGGCACGAGCAGACCGATGAGAAGAGAGCTCTGCTCCTCGTTCACCACGAACTTGCTCACTCTGCGAAACCACAGTTCAAATTACCAACATGTCAGCAGAGAACCTGAATAACTGATGAAAAAACACAAGCCAGATAAAATCAAGTGGGATACCTGTAACATGAATGTGTGAACTGCACATGAGTGCAATATACATTACAAGGCAGACATTGCTTAGCAGACATTGTTATCCCGTAGAACGCGATCTTTGTCTTAGAAATTTTTTTTTAAATGAATAAAATCCCAAAACCTAAAAAGTGCTTACGCGTGAACAGAGCGCTGGCCGAAGGAAAAACAACAGTCAACATCTTTATTTACATTCACTCAGCCAATGAAAGTGACTTACACTACTGAACCAAGCAGCGTGGGCGCCACTTAGAGCTATAGAGCTCTTTTTCAGATGCGACCTGGCCACAAATGATAGATCAACGAAGTGGCTTACCATGTGGAAAATTATAGCAGCCAAATATTCTAAATGCATGTTTCTAAATGTGGAGGGAAAAACCGGAAGACCTAGAGAAAAATCCAACACGACCACAGGAGAACATGCAAATACCAAATATACAGGCGTCAGGGTCGGGTTTGAACCCACAACCTCCTGTATACCAGGCGAGATAGTTAACATTAACATCTCGCCACTGTGGCGATTCTATTTGTGCTCACTTCTCCAGGAACGCACCTCGAGTGCTAAGCAAGGTCTGCGTGTAATTGCTCCATTAGCTGATACGTAACATTATACAGTGGTACCTTGGTATACGACCGCTTTGAAATACGTCGAATTTGGTATACGTCGTGTTTTGACGAGAAAAAAGTCTTGGGATACGTCTTGCTTGGAATATGACGCTCTTGCTAGAACTTGTATGGGTCTGGATGAGTCACCGCGTACCCGCCGCGTAGACCCCGTTCACGACTCCTCCCCTTCCTCACCACCATCCTCGTAGGCCATCAACTCCTCTCAGCAAGGTAAAGTGACGTAAAAAAAATTCTATTTATTTAAATTTATGTATGCATTTTAGTAATAAGTAGTGTCTAAATTATTTATACAACCCCATTAATCTATAATATGCCACATAAAATATAATTTCTTATACTCTGGAACGGATTATTTCCTTTCCCTTTATTTCTTATGGGAAAAATTCGTTTGGGATACGTCATTTTCGGTATAAGTCAAACCTTCTGGAACGAATTAACGACGTATACCAAGGTACCACTGTAATATGATTTGCACATAACATTGCATAGATTTAAAAAAAAATATTCTTACATGCTTGATTTGATATATTTATTCTGAGGCTGAAGACTATATTTTAATAGGTCCAGCCCTAAATAAATCACTTTGTGATAAATGCATTAAAAAATACTCCTTTACAGTGATGTGTATGTGTGTAATTCCAATAAATGTAATGTTAATGGAACTGATTTAATGTACTGTTAAAACTTGCCAAACAAGGAACCAAAGTATATAAAGTGGTATTATAACAGCCATCCCAAAACTGTGTTGACCAGACTGTAACAAACGTAACACAATGAATGGAACACTTGTGCAGCAAGACTAATACAACTTAAACTGTGATTACAGCCTGTTATAAATCATGGAAACATGATTTTCACTGTTTCATGAGACAGTAAAACATGCTATTCGGAATGAAAGAGCTCATTCAGATCTATAAGAGTGCCTCTTCACCTCATCATGACACTGAGTGCATAATTAGAATAGAGTACTGAAATTGGATTGTTATGTTTTAATATTGTATACTGAATATACTCAGACATCATTATAATACCCAGGATGTCCTGTCTGCATTGGGACAGCCTGAGTGCAAACAACACACTGTACAATCGTATTTGTGTATAAACTAAACTATTTTGTATTTTACCAGGTAGAGCCCACTGAGCTCTTTTTCAGAGGCGACCTGGCCATGTGTGAATTTACTGCAGCAGCCAACTAATCTAAAAGCACGTTTCTAAATGGAGGGAAAAACTGGAGGGCCCAGAGAAAAAATAGGCGCAACCACGGGAAGAACATGAAAACTCGGAATATACATATTCTTAGGTTTTTTCGGTAAAGTCACGGTGGTAAAAAATTAAAATTAATAAAAGTCAAATAAAAATAAAATAAAAATCACGACGTTTCGGAGGCAACACAAGCCTCCGTCTTCAGGTGGAACCGTTACAGCACGATAGCTGTATCAAGTAAGAGAAATTCCAAGAAAATAGTCCTTGTATATATACTGGTTGAGGGTGGGAGGAGCCATGGTAGGCCCTGGATATTATTATTGTGAGGTTCGGTGCGGCTGAAGCACGGTGTTAGGAATGAGCCTTTGTTGTGTAGACTGGTTGAAAAGAGTTGTTAAGGTGAGGCTGATGTAAAGGTGCGGCTGCTGTGAACCAGGCATCGTCTGGCCGGGATCGAACCCACGACCTCAAGCGTACCAGGAGGAGATAAAATCTCGGCACCACAGTGCCCCATAGTAAAGTCATGGCTACATGTGGTCAAGTATAACTGAAAAAACAATTTAAAAAACTATATATGAAAAAAACTATATAAAAACTATATATATTTGACATGTCAAATTGCACTCAGGGTCGAATAATTAACTTTCAAATTGATCGACCATAACATGCCACACAGCCAAGGTTGCCATTCAATTGTAAGACAATAACAGCATGGCTTGCTTTTACGAGTGAACCTTTGCATAAGATTCATCCGGAGTACTAACCGAGACAAAATGTTGAGGTTCTTGGAAACTTGATCATGGAATTTTTTGCTGTTCATCTTGTCACGGTCCTTGACAACGCCCGCCAGGTACTGGAGGATGCCCGTTACGTGTGGCAACAGCAGCCGTGTGCCCAGCTCCAGCTGTGTCCCATCTACAATGGGGACAAAAAGGCGGCGATGATTGCAACGGCTTCTCATCATCGGTTCTATTTCTCTTTCTGAGGCGTCCTGTGATATTTGAAATGTCTTAAAAATAAAACGTATAAAAACGGTCAAAAACAAGTTAACATTATTTGTTGATGCTGTGTTGGCAATAGTGCACGAGCACAAAAAAACTCAACACATGTGACAAAAAATTGCCTTAAAATTAAATATATAAGAGACATTTCACAGTCAATGGCCCTTTGTCATCTTACCTATAAACGTCATTCTTTGTCTGTCCATCTGTCTGCGCATGCTCGCTTGCGGGGGATTTGGCTCCCGGACCGTGGGGTTAATGTTTTTTTAAAGTAGCCGGATACCACGAAAAAGTAGCACGCCGTAAGCCCCGTGGTGAGCCAGCGCTATTCCGTTTTCCCATCCGTAAACTTAAAAGTAGTTAAATTAACAATTGAGTGCAATTTCTCTTAATTTAATAATTTAGCTAGCCACTCGGCGCGGGACAAAGCACGCAATTGTGCATGCGCGAAACGCTGACAGGGGTTGCCCCTAGCAATGCACACACGATCGGCAAAAACTTTCATTCGCGTTACGAATGCAACAAAAAAACACAGAACACTGAGGTTAATTCTTCAGTGTGATGTCCTCTTCTCCCACCACCCCAATGCGTCCAGTTACTACTATAGAGTCCGTACATATTAATATTATAGCGCTTAGATAGTATTATTGAAGCGCGGGCGGGGGGAGCAGCCCAGCCCCCAGTCTGCCAAGGTGCCATCTCGGCCGGCTGGCCAATCTAGGCGAGGCCAGGGGCTCTGCACGAGACTAGGCCTCACCACGGCAACGTTAAGTAAGTTATATTTTACTCTTTGCTTCTTTCAGTGAAGTCACGTAGAAAGAAATTAAATTAAATAATAATAGAATACGGCGTTTTAATTGCAACACAAGCAACCATCATCATGTACAAATCAATGAGAAAACAAACACAGTAAACTTGGAAATATAATGCAATACAACACAAAGTCAGCCAACACAACAGTCAACAACCCCAACCTGGTTGATTACGTTCTTCCAAAGAGTGCTCAATTTGAGGGAGAGGGAGAGACAAAAGTTATATTTTCTTGCTGCTTTCGCTAAACTCACATACATAGAAAACTGGTATTAAAAAAATAAGTTTGGAATGCTATTGCCAATAAACTGCAACTTGAATCACTACCTATGGGATCTTCACTCAAAACTGCTCTAGAGGAGTTGTACACTCCGAGCTGCCACTGCTATTCAGTGGCCTAAAATAAAATAAAATGTTTCGCTCCAGATGACCGCTGCAAAGTATTATCTGTGTTTTGATTTATTGTGCTGATCTTAAAGGTGCATTGAAAAATGTTATACTCCGACTGATGCTCCTGATGTTGTGGAGTGACTCATGCAGCCAGCTATGGCTGCAGGGTTTGGTGGTTCATGTTGTTTATGTTGTTTATTGTGAACATTCAGTCACAGTTCCTATGCTCACTGTTACATTGCTTTTATGGCTTTATTTTGGTGATTTTGAAAAGTTTTTTGGTTTGGCCATGTTTGTTTGTTGTAGTACGGAGTGAGACTGATGGCCTCAATCTAAGTTGTCTTGTGGTTGTTGCTGTTTGACTTGCATCCCACTGGAATTTTTGCACACAGCGTTGGTGTACGGTGCTTTTTTCTGGAATTTTTGCTGTTTTTTTTTCCTGGATTTTCAGTTTCCACAGTCACTTAAAGATGTTTTCATGTTCATGTTTTTGTTGTTTGTTTGTTGCGGTTGCACCCAATTCAAGAGCCGAATGGCTCACAGGGCTATACCTAACAAATGAACTTGAAACTCTTTTGCTAAACTCACGTAGATAGAAACCTATTATTTAAATAATCACCTTGTAAATATTTAATTAATATTTATTGTGTGCAGACAAATAGTATTTATTTTTCCTGCTTCTTTCGCTAAACGCACGTAGCAAAAGAAACCTATAATTTACATTATCGCCTTAGAAATCTTACAATAATATTGTTTGTGTGCAGGCAACTATTATTTCATTTTCTTGCTTCTTTCACTAACTTTGTACATTCAAACCTATTTTTTAAACAATCGCCTTATTTTTATACAAACACATTTTTTTGTGTGCAGACAACTCATATTTCACAATTTACTTAGTTATTATTTTTATTATTACATGTGTTCCTATGTCCTTGTGTGCGTCTGAGTCCACGTGCGTGTCTGCGACAATTTGTGTGTGTGTGAACGTCCGTGTGTGTATAAGTCGATGTATGTGTGCGAGTTGATGTGTGTGTCAGTCGATGTGTGTGTGTCAGTCGCTGTGTGTGTGTGTCAGTCGATGTGTGTGTGTTAATCAATGTGTGTGCATGGTGTGTGTGTAGACAACTAATATTTACAATTAGGTTGGTAATTTTTAAAATTCTAATGTGTGTGTCTAAGTCCATGTGTGCGTGTGAGTCCATGTGCATGTCTGCGTCGATGTGTGTGTGAAAGTCGATGTATGTGTGTGTGAGTCGAAGTGTGTGCATACGTTTATGTGTGTGTTTGTGAGTCGATATGTGTGTGTAACTCCATGTGCGTGTATCTAAAATCGATGTCTGTGTGTGTGATTCCATATGTGTATGTGTGTGTAGGGCAATATGTGTGAGAGTCTATGTGTGTGTGAGTCGATGTGTGTAAGTCGATGTGTGTGCGTAGGTTCATGTGTGTGTGTCAGTCCATATGTGTGTGTAGGGTGTTGTGTCTGAGTATATGTGTGAGTCAATGTGTGTGCATGGGTTCATGTGTGTGTCTCTTAGTCAATGTGTGTGTAAGTCCATATGTGTGTGTAGGTCAATGTGTGCGAATCTATGTATGTGTGTGAGTCGATGTGTGTAAGTCGATGTGTGTGCTTGAGTCCATATGTGTGTGTAAGTCCATGTGTGTGTGTATCTTAGTCGCTATGTGTGTGTGTGTGAGTTGATGTGTTTGTGTGTGTAGGTCAATGTCTGTAAGTCTGTGTAAGTCGATGTGTGTGTCTGTCTTTTTCGCCCAGGCAACGCCAGGTACTTCCTGCTAGTCTTACCGATTAAACGTAATTTTTTGTCTGTCTCTGTGTGTGTGTGGACAAAACGTGCCAAGGATTTGGCTCGCGAACCGTGGGGTTTCCGTTTTAAAAAAGTAGGCAGGTACCACGCGATAAGCACCGTGGTGAGCCAGCGCTATTTCGATTTTCCCATCCGTCAACTTTAAAAGTAGTTAAATTAAGAATTTAGTGCTATTTATTTTTTATGTATTTCCTTACATCGCTCAGTCTACATTATAGACTGCCAGTACACTCACCAAACTTAATAACCAGGCAACAGTCTACATTGTAGACTGCTAGTACACTCACTCCGATTAAAAACCAGGCTACAGTCTACATTAATGGTTATTTTATTATTATTATTGTCATTAATTTTATTCACTTTTTTATTATTATTTTTCTATCTACGTGCTTTTACAGAAAGAACCAAAGATTATTATTATAGTTAGTATAGCTACTACTACAGCCAGTATACACTGCTATAGAGTTAGTGTAGCTACTACTATAGCCAGTACACACTGCTATAGAGTTAGTATAGCTACTACTACAGCCAGTACACACTGCTATAGAGTTAGTGTAGCTACTACTACAGCCAGTACACACTGCTATAGAGTTAGTATAGCTACTACTACAGCCAGTACACACTGCTATAGAGTTAGTATAGCTACTACTACAGCCAGTACACACTGCTATAGAATTAGTATAGCTACTAAGACAGCCAGTACACACTGCTATAGAGTTAGTATAGCTACTACTACAGCCAGTACACACTGCTATAGAGTTAGTATAGCTACTACTACAGCCAGTACACACTGCTATAGAGTTAGTATAGCTACTACTACAGCCAGTACACACTGCTATAGAGTTAGTATAGCTACTACTACAGCAGTACACACTGCTATAGAGTTAGTATCGCTACAACTACAACCAGTACACACTGCTATAGAGTTAGTGTAGCTACTACTACAGCCAGTACACACTGCTATAGAGTTAGTATAGCTACTACTACAGCCAGTACACACAGCTATAGAGTTAGTATTGCTGCTACTACAGCCAGTACACACTGCTATAGAGTTAGTATAGCTACTACTACAGCCAGTACACACTGCTATAGAGTTAGTATATTTACTACTACAGCCAGTACACACTGCTATAGAGTTAGTATAGCTACTACTACAGCCAGTACACACTGCTATAGAGTTAGTATAGCTACTACTACAGCCAGCACACACTGCTATAGAGTTAGTGTAGCTACTACTACAGCCAGTACACACTGCTATAGAGTTAGTGTAGCTACTACTACAGCCAGTACACACTGCTATAGAGTTAGTGTAGCTACTACTACAGCCAGTACACACTGCTATAGAGTTAGTGTAGCTACTACTACAGCCAGTACACACTGCTATAGAATTAATGTAGCTACTACTACAGCCAGTATACACTTCTATAGAGTTAGTATAGATACTACTACAGCCAGTACACACTGCTATAGAGTTAGTATAGATACTACGACAGCCAGTACACACTGCTATAGAGTTAGTATAGCTACTACTAGAGCCAGTACATACTACTGTAGCTATCGTCGTTACTACTACAGCCAGCACATACTACTGTAGTGATAGTAGATACTGCTATCGAGTCAGCAGATACTACTTTCGAGTTAGTAGATATTACTATAGTCAGTATATACTACTGTAGAGTTAGTAGATACTGCTATAGAGTCAATATACACTATTATAGAGTCGGTAGATACTACTGCAGTCAGTATAAACTTCTGTAGAGTCACTAGATACTACTACAGTTAGTAGTCACGACTATAGAGTCGGTAAATACTACTGTAGAGTCGGTAGATACAACTGTAAAGTCAGGAGATACTATTGCAGAGTCGGTAGAGACTACTGTAGAGTAAGTATATACTGCTATAGAGTAAGCAGATACTACTATAGAGTTAGTAGTTATTACTATAGTCAGTGGATACTACTATAAAGTCAATAGATACGACTAGAGATTCAGTAGATACTACTGTAGTCAGTAGATACTACTGTAGAGTCAGTATTTACTGATATATAGTCAGCAGATACTACTGTAGAGTCAGTAGATAATACTACAGTCAGGAGATACCACTAGAGTCAGTAAATACTGCTACAGTCAGTAAATACTACTGTAGAGCCAGTATGTACTCCTATAAAGTCAGCAGATACTACTATAGAGTCTGTATATACTATTAAAGAGTCAGTAGATACTACTGTAGAGTGAGTAGATACTACTGTAGGGTCAATAGATACTACTATAAAGTCAACAGATACTACTGTAGAGCCAGATACTACTGTCGAGCCAGATACTACTAGAGTCACTAGATACTACTAGAGTCGCTAGATACTACTCACTCTATTGTATGTAGGGTGTGTAGGTATATATGCCTATGGGGGGGTAAAAATATTTTTCGAGGGTGGGGATGTCGACAATTTTAGGAAACCTTTTAGATAAACTATTTACCCGCCACTTTCTATTAATTTTGGATTCAGGACTTCCTCAAGCCTCTTATAATTTTGTTGACAGACAAATGGACATACGGAATGCCGGGCTTTCACAATAGATTAGTACTTGTGTATGTATGTTATGTTTTTAAGATAAGTTTTAAAATATTTTTTTTCTCTCAGGAAACGCCGGGTACTTCCCACTAGTAGAATAAAACTGGAAAGGCCAGAGAGATAGGGTCGATAAGAGTGAAAGAATACATATTACACCATGGGGCCTGACAAACAGTTTTACTTTGGCAAATGAATCGTTATATAACTTACCAAATAGGTTGTTGTAACTAATATTACAATTCATGATTGATTTTTTGGTTGGGCCAGGTAACGATCTTGCCAAATTTGTTTGTATCCTCCACCACCCAACGTAGCAAACAAATGTAACTTTCAAGTCTACAAGCGTTTAACGCACCAATTAAAATTGCTATTCAACTTACCGTTGAGCTAATACAACCATAATTGGCAAATTAAATACATGTAAGTGTGATCATTTCATTTGTGTCACTATGCCAGGTGGTGGAGGGTCTTATGACACAGATCTGCTGCTCGTCGTGTGTCGAGGTGTGAAGTTACTTGAACTTGTGGCAAAGAGGCATAACGTGATGCCGTACCGGGGAGGCTGGCAGGTGCGGGGAGCACGCAGCCCTGCGTAGACAGCGCCGAGTGCGTCTCCGTGGACTCCGGGTCAGGCACGGTCAGCAGGTTCTCGGCAATGTCGAGCACGCACTGGGCCGTCGTTGGGCTCAGATTCTTGGCTTTGAGCAGTGCATACACGTTGGGCAGCACACTGCACTCGGGATGCTCTGGGTGCTCCTTGGCTAAGAGTGGGATGAACCTGCAATTGCACACCAAGGAAAACACCACACAGTTATTAGACTATACCAACATTTGGCAACGTAGTATATACAATAAGTGTTAGATAGTGTAAAATCCAATCCAAGTATTGGCGTCCTTTATTTTGGAAAGATATTCATATATTATCCTGTCAATCGTCATCATCCGCTATCATCAATCACTCCACTGCTGGATGAAGGCCTCCCCAAGCTGCCACCACTTCTCCCAATCTCGCGATGCAACAATCCAACAATACATCCAGTACATGGTGCAGTGGTATTATGGAATTTTTATTAATACAAATGTTTAATACATTTCAAGTATGTATTTTTGTTTTGTTTACTCAGGTGGCAACACTTGTCTTAGTTCATTACAAGATCGTGAAAGTGCAAAATAAATCTCAATGTGTTGTGGCTATCTGAAGAATATTGGGAGAGAGTGTGCTAGGGTCCACAGACAGGAGGCACCATCTGAGAAGACGTTACGAGCACGGTTAAGCACTTGGTAGGTCGCCAAAGTTTAAAGGCCCTCTGACCTGACAACCATTCACTTTTTGTAAAATTATCAAGAAGCATACAAAATAAAGCCAAGAATTATGGGAAAAAATGAAGAAAAGATTGAGAGTCGTGGATGGAAAGTTACTGAAGAAATATTGCTGAATCTTTTTTGGTGAAATTTCCAGGAGAGCCTACAAAATTTCAAATACACTAAGAGAAATTATTGGGTTCAAAAGCATTACCAGAAAAGCAGGCATTATCCTACATTTTAAGGCATACTCAAAAAGAATAATATTATTTGTGACGATCATACATTACTTTCCATCCAGGGCCGCACTTTACAATCGCCCTATAAAGTGCTAAAATTTCAAAATGTTGTAACTATCATGACAGATTGTAAATGTATCCAAACATTTAGATGAAACGAAATGACAACGATTAACACTAAATTTTGGCAGCACTATTGTGAGAAGTAGGAAGAGTGTGTGTTTGAGTTAGATGGTGGCTTAACACTCACTGCAGTATTTGGTGTATGTGGCTTCACTCAAACATTGCAAGAGACACAACTCTGGAACCGATCAAATCTCGTAGAACTAAGAAATACATCGGTATATAGTGGGACTCGGTGAGGTGAGGAGGACCAGGAGAGAACCACATAGATTTAAACCGACAACCTTTTCCATGTCAAGAGGCAGAGATGACCACAATTACAGAGTACTCTACATGTTCATCAACCAGTGACCTTAAAAGAAAAATATATATAATAGACATTTCAGGCAATGGCCCTTCTTCATAGCACGTACTCTGTCTCATAGTATGTGTTGCATTTATTGTTCACTGAGGTTGTGCGCCACCGCAAATGCAGCATCCCAAATAAGTTGCGTCATGACAGAGTAGGATTCTTAGTGTCTATGGGAGGCAAACGTAGAGTTTTCCTCTTCAAGCAGCGGTTAAGACAGTGTCCCAGCTAAGATTAAGGGTGTTGAACCAACACATGTACACAGCCCTCTTGTCAATACTGCTGGATGTTCAAGGTTATCAATGAACACTGTGTGCTCATATTTTAGGTTAATAATTCCCTCATTATTTATCATATTGAATCGAGTAATTTTGATGTCCGACAAAGCTTTGATTGGTTCAAGAGTGATCCAGCCTCACACGTTGAAGGCTCGCGCAACCACTCACCTTGGAATCTGGCTCCACATTTGTACAAGTTTGAGCAGCGGCGTAGGAGAGTACTGGCTTTCTGTGGACAGGCGAGTAATCTAAAAGGAACCCACAAAGGCACACAAGATTCATACTTTATTATTTGGCTATATCATTGTAATCTAATCCAAAAAAACAAGAGTCAAACATCCCTGGCTTAATAATTGGGAATAGCACCAGATCATGTAATATGTAGATTTATCAAGTGCTGTGTTGAAGGGCCATGTATCGAAGCACCAAATGTGAAACGCCATATATCTGTTTGCTTTTTAAAAATCGTTTAACAGTATAAGTAACGTGGGTTTTTAAAATAAAATACCTAGTATTTTAATCTCGGATAATATAGTCACGTTGAAAGTCCACAAAACGTAGACAGAAGTAATGCACCATATAAAAGTTATCTGCCAATGTTCTTATTGTCGCCATAGTCAGCTGCCAAGTTGACCAAGTTGTGTTACCTTCCCGATGTGACCACTCGTACAATTGTTACGACACCGCTTGCGCTTCGCACTGGCTCGCAGCGTTTACAGAATGAAGTTGAATTATGTGGGTGAGGGTCATTCAACTGTAAGAATGGCCAAGCGAAGAAGGCAAGTTGGAATTTGATATAAAAATGAACCATCACAGAATTATTACATATAAACCTGCTTTTCAAAAGATTCAGAACGCATCAACTCGCTTGCATACTTCTGAATTCACGAGTGCGTTTATTATGTCCAGTTATCACACACAGACTCCGTTTACCAGGGGCCAGAAGAGTGCCTGGAAGACTGCCTCCAGCTCGCCAGCAGAGAAGGCGTACGCATCGTTGTCTTCAAAAAAGTGCAGCAGGCTATCCTGGCCCAGGCGTCGCAGCCGCTTCACGAGCGCGACCGAGCGCGGCTGCACCTGCAGGCAATCAGGGTCACAGTGCCAATGGCAGGCACGCATCAGTGATACGGGCAGCGCAGGGTCCATAATGTAACAAGGGCACTCACAATAACCAAGCAGCTTCGGAGTAAAGCAGAGGACCCCGCCACCTGGTAAAATGTGCCACCAATTTGGTCACGCTGTCACATGACAATGAAGAGTAAAATGGCCTTGCAGAGCATCGCTAGAAGCAACTCTTTTCTAAAGTGTTAAACATGTCACAAATGTAGTCTCACTCTGCATGACCGAATTTACAAAAGCATACTAAACTAAACGCAGTATGAGTGTCATGATAATGATATTATGCTTAAAAAAAAATTATCTCCCTCATCCCCAGTCATGGTTATTTGCTGTAACACCTTAATGCAGTGCTTTTCGACCCTTTTCACTGGGGGAGTTGAGAGGGCCGGGGGCTAATGGCAAACAATGGAGAGGGGAAGGAAAGTGGGTGGATCGGCCACGGAACAGCACGGAGAAGCGTTTGTCTGTCAGATGTATTTTAATGCAGCTGGCTCACGTGAAATTGATTTCTCGAAGACGATGGTACTTTGCAAGCCTACTGGCTATCAACAAAGATTTGTTCATGAAGATATCCATATATACAGACACAATTTCAACCGAGAAGATGGTTATAAACTCAGCAATCATTGGAAATGTCATCAACCACTTTGGGTCAAGACTTGATTTGTGTTTTTTCTCATCAACCTCCACCATCAGCAGTGTGGGTGTGTGGAGATGATTGCCTGGCGGCCCATTGATTGGTGTAGTTGCAGTTGCTTGTCTTTCCCCCAACATTAACATTAGCTGCCCCGCCCATGCTGCTGACACACTTGGGCTACGTCCATCTCTAAACCTTTATAAACAGTTTGCCTTTAGAGGCTAACCCCCCCCCCCTTTTCCTGATGACGACCGCTTGTATTGCGATCGAAACGTTGTGGTTTTTGTGTTTATTTTATTTGTATTACTGAAAGAACCAGAATAAGTCTACATTATAGACTGCCAATATGCTCATCAGCTTAAAATTCAGGCTACAGTCTACATAATAGACTGCCAGTACTTTCACTTTTTATAATTATAATTATTATTTTTTCTATCTACGTGACTTACAGAAAGAACCAAAGAATATGAATTCTGCAGTCACCAAAGTTTTAAGTCATCAATCATGCTACTAACCCTGAGTGTTTATTGGATTACAACCCGCACCTGCGATTAGCACTGGTGGCTACGTACGGTACGAAAGAAGTTCAAACATACATACGTAGATACAAAATCAACGACGGGTTTGCCAAGAGGGTTCAACACATTAATTATCGCGTCGTTCCTTTGCTGGGGGGCAGCCTACCTGATCGCGCTGATCCAGAATGTGCGAAAAGGATGCCACCATGCACAGGAGGATCTGCAGCAGCTGTGACAGGTGGCCGTGAAGCAGGTGGCCCACGTTGGCCATGAGCGTGTCGACCGTGTTGAGGATGCCGTGCTGCCGGCCCAGGGGAATCACAGAGCCCAGCTCCAGCTCCTGCACAGTACGTGTCACCGCGTGCACGCACGAGCCTGCGTCCACCAGCGACAGTGGCAACGGCATCATCATCACATGCCAGACACCACACATGTCCAGTCTCACACACCAATAAACTTTATCTTCTCCGAACAAAAAATAACCATTAAAAAAATGGGTTTTCATAAATTAATCAAATCCATTAAGAAATCGTCAACCTCACAAAATGTACTAAATTCCTCATTTGTTGGCAATCACTGAATGTTTTAAACAAACTGATCTTTGGAACTACAAAGCATTACCATGTAAAATCCTGCCACTACCACTTTCAATGTGTAAGGACAGTATGGGGCCTAGTTCCATAAATAATGATTGCAGCGATGAAAACAGGCAAGGTCAAGTGAGCTAACTGGGTGAGGAGTCAACGCGGGGGTAGAGATGGGGTGTTATATAGTGAGGCAAAGGAGAAAGTTCGGGAAAGGGACGTGGAAGAGCAGAGGGGAAATAAAAGGCTGCACGGAGCGGGGTTCAAGGCTGCTGTGGGGATTGGGGGTCCGGACTGTCGTCGCTGACATCACGGGGGATCGCCCTCATCGTCTTGGAAGGCAGGGAAGGAAGTTATATAACTTCCCCGTGGCTACTACATCGACGGCTCCTATATAGTCAGTCCGCTATGTAGTGAACCTGCGTCCACCTGATAACGTGTCATCAAGTCGGGTGGACTGTAATATGTAATAAATATATACATATAACTTAAGCTAGACATCGTCTCTGAATGCTACATTACAAATGTGTACAACTAAACACAGTTTAGACATTGAACACTGACATACTTTAACACTGGCAGCAAACCGGTTGAGAGTACAACAGAGACCACCAGAATAGGTGGCGTCGAGTCATATTAATTTAATCTGCTAATCCATACGTCGAGATGAACGAGAATGCA